AGACCGTGGGAGTGAGGAAGTGCTGACAGTGAGGGACGTGAGTCAGCCAGCCAGTGACAGACACGAGACTGAGGCCGAGAGAAACGTGCTGCACATAGTGGGCTGGGGGCTCAGGCATGTGACAGACGCCCTTTTTAGAAAGGTGTGGTCACCTTGCCCCCTTCCAGAAGGACTTGGCCCAGGAAGGAGCCCCAGCCTTCCACGTCCCTGGGTGGGACAAGCCTGCCTGGACAGCTGTCCTAGGCCCGAGGGCAGTGCTACAGAGAGCCCTGATTTGCAATGCCCGACCTCCAGCGTAGCGCCCTGGCCCGCCCAGGCCGGGCCCCAGCCCGCCCCACACAGCACCCTGCCGCAGAGCCGGCCCTCTCACCGGCTCATTCAGCGGGTCCGTTTCCTTCCTTCGTGGGGCACCGAACTTCACCTGGTGAACTGGAGGGCCCAGCGTACACAGGTTGGGGGAATGAAGACTTCAGGACTTACCCGCACGCACATCAAATCCACACATGCCACCCCCCCACCGAATCCACACACTCGGCCCCCCACCAAACCACACAAGCAGCCCCCCCAACTCGACTGACTCACACTGGATCTCTGAGGGGGTCCTCTCGGCCTGGCCATGCTGACCCCGGGAGTGAATGGTGTCTGGAAACATGTCATAAGTCTAAGAGAGAACACAAACAGTGGGCACACACCACGTTCAGTGTGCCTCACACGCATCGGCCCTCTGAGATGGAGTGGCACCCTCATTTCACAAATGAATAAACCAGCACACAGGGGCAAGTGACTGGCCAAAGGTCACATAGAAAATAGAAAATGGCTGAGCAAGGGTCACGGTCAGCCTGGGTCAAGGGCAGAAACCTATCAAAGGGTAGAGCAGAGAGGCAAGACCAGCTCAGGGAAAATTCCTAATGGGTGGCTCCCTGTGCTGGAAATATTTGAGTTAAAGGGCCCTTGACCTATATCACCACTGCACTCCCTGCAACCGGGCCAGACCTCGACCCAGTTCCCCAGAGGCCCTCACTTACCTCCAGGTCGCAGTCGTCTGGGGAGGGGGCGCCCAGGTGGGGGTCATTGGCCTTGTCCAGCAGCTGTGTGAGGAGAGCCCGAGGGAGCTGCTGCGCAGTGAACGGGTGCTGGAGGGTCGAGGAGCGCTCAGGTCAGTCTCTGGCCCCCGGGCCCCTGCTTTCAGGCACTGGGCCCCCTGCCCCACCCCCTGCCTCCCACCTGTAGAAGCTTCTCTGCTGTTGGCCTCTTCTTGGGGTTCTTGGTCAAGGCCAGCTTGAGGAAGTGGTGGAAATTCTGGGTCCTAGTGGGCACAAGAGCCCCCAGCGCCCAGACCCAGGTCAGCCCTCACGCAGAGCATCCTGCCACCTCCCCTGCCACCACTCCAGAGAAGTCTGCCGGGCTTGCCCAGGAAGGGGCCAACCCGAGGCCATGGGCAGCTGGCCTGAGCAATACTGCTGTTGCGACATGGAGGATCCTCCATCAATAACCATATGCCCTTCTTCCCTGTCCACACCGGTCCCAGGCCCACGGGGGGGGGGGGGAGGGCAAGCCCCTCCCACAGTCTGCAGAAAGCCAGAGGTCAGGGGTCTTGAGGCTACACCCTGAGAGGTGGAAGACAGCTCCTCTACCCCCATAAAGACTGGCTAGAAAGGGGGCCCCGGCCAGGGACATGGGCTCTCACCAGCGAGTCTTGTCCCTCAGCTTGGGTGGCTGGAAGCTGCTCTTGGACATGAGCATCAAGGCCCTATAGAGAGCAAAAGGTCAGGAGTTGAGGGTAGGCAGGGCCTTAGGGGTCAGGCAAGGGGCAGGCATTCCGCTGACCTCATGGGGTGCAGATGGAACAGTGGGGGCTGCAGCTCGCCCAGCTCAATGGCTGTGATGCCCAGGGCCCAGATGTCACACAGCTCATTGTAGCCACCTTTGCGCTCCACGGCAGCCACCTCAGGGGCCATCCTAGAGGCAAAGTCACAGATAGGATGGCCAGGGGACCCCCTGTGGCCCCTGGCCCCTCAGCCCATGGTGCAGCCTCACCAGTATGGAGTCCCAATGAAAGACCTCCTCTTAGCCACAGACGCCGTCAGCTCGCCTGACACCCCAAAGTCAGCTGCAGGGAGAAAAGCTACTCGAACCCGCCCTCTGGCTGCCACTCCCCACCCACCCCTAAGCCCAGGATGCACCTGGCAGAGCTCAAACAGCAGGTGGACCAAGTTCAGCTACAACTGCCAAGGCCAGGTTCCCCTCTTGGGAAGGGTCAACCACCCTCTATTGCTGACCAAATGCCAGGTCCCATGTTGAACTGCATAGAGACCCAACCACATCTAACTTCTATGAGGAAGGTAAGACCCTTCTACTTGATGGTGAAACGGAGGTCTGAGGTGTAAAGTGACTTGCCCAAGGACACCCAGCACTTGAACACACACTTTGCGACTCTAGGAGTTCCCACAGAACCCTCACCCTGATTGTGTTCCCAAGGTACTGACCCAGCTTGACATCTCCCTGGAGGGTGAGGAGAAGGTTGGCTCCCTGTAGGAATGGAGAAGAGAGAATCCCATCTGGGGCCCCCAAGAGCCTTCCCCTCACTCCCCCGACACCAGACCCTACCTTGATATCTCTGTGGATCTTCCCCTGAGAATGCAAGTGGTGCAGCCCCTGGGGACAGAGAGGAGCCCGTGAGAGCAGCTGTGCAGTGCCATCCCACCTTCCCTGAACCCCCTCTGAGGACTGGGGCCCCCCCACCCAAGCAGCTTCCTCCTCCCCTCTCCTCAAACAGGAAGTGACTGAGCCAAGAGGGAAATGGGCTGCTTCCGGCAACAGGGCTGGGGCCCCTTCTCCCAGGACCCACAGCCCCTCAGGGCCAAGGCACTCCACCCCCCAACACACTGGCCAGCTGGGCTCCCTGCCCAGAGCTCCTGGGGACTGGGCGTGTGAGCAGCCTTGTGGGCCTAGCTACCTTCAGTGCCTCTCGGCAGACATAGGCAATCTGCAGTTCCTCCAGGGGCCCGGTGGCTGAAATGGAAGGGGTGAGGGCTGGCATGAGGGTCTGGGGAATATGCTGACCCTCCCAGGCCACCCTGGGTCAAGGAAGCAGCAGGCAGTCTGGAATACAGAGCCCAGAGAAGGCTAGTATTTCTCTCAAGGTCACACAGCCAGTGATGAGTAGGCTTGGGCCCCAGCTCTTCCCTCCTGCCACAGGTTGGGATAGAGGGTGGGAAGAAAGCTGTGGCCCTCTGGGGCCTGGAGTCCTGGCCCTCACCATGATAAATCTCCTGCAGGGACCCCCCTCCGCAGAACTCCATGCAGATCCACAAGCGGTCATTCCTGGTGGGACACAGACCTGGGGTGGGCACATGGCAGGGCCACACATAGGGGCTGCCTGAGTGTGGGCAGGGAGGTAAAGCAGCCTCACCTGAGATAGCTGCCAATGTAGGCCACCACATTGGGGTGGTGGCACTCACGCAGGATGGTGATTTCCTGTTGCAGGGAGCTGATGTCGTCCCCTGGGGAGCACAGGACATCACGAGGGGAGCCTCAGAGGGATCGCCCTGACTCAGTGCCCTCATCTGCCGATGAACACAGAGTGCTTCCTCCCTCCAAGCCAGGCAGGTGCCGCGGGACTGAACCTCCAGGGGCCTGCCTCTCAGGGGGCATCGGAAATGTCAACTCTCCGCCCCTCACACCACGCAGCCAGGCTCTCTGCCCGCCCTCCAGCGCAGAGGCCCTGGCTCCCGGCCCTCACCTGGGTCTAGCTTGACTATCTTGACCGCGGCCAGTTCGGACGTGACCGTGTCTCGGGCCTACAGAGACGGAGTGGGGGGGGGGGGAGCGGAATGAGGAGGGGGGCGGGACTGGGGGCTGGATCTCTTTGGCACCCTCCTTGCCGCTCCCCCGCCCGTCCAGCCACACGACGCGCACCTTGTAGACGTCGCCATAGGTCCCGGTCCCCACGCGCTGCAGCAGCTCAAAGCGGTCCCGCGGATCCTGCAGCGACACGTCCCGCAGCAGCGCCATGGCCCGGCGCCGGGCGGGCCGGCGGACGGACGCGCGAACTGCTGAGCGGAGCCGGCGCGAGCGGCGTGGGGCGGGGCGGGGTAGGGCGGGCGCCGGTGGCTCGGAGGCCGCGGGGGCGGGGCCGGGGCCTGGGGCGGGGACTGGCCGGGAGGAGGCGCCCAAGGGACAGGCCCTCCAGCAGGGAGGGAAAACCCCGAAGCGCTGCGGAGCCTCGCGGAGTACGGCAGGCCGAGGCCCTTCAGCCAGCCACGGATTCCTTGCGTTCTACAGGTGGCAGGCCAGAAGGTGGAGGATAGAAGAGGCGCCCTACAACCCGCTGCCCAAATTCCCAGACGAAACACAGACATGTTTTGTTTTTTTAAAAAATGTATTCATCTTCCTTGGAACTGAAAAATAAATCTATGTACAAAACAGATATAGGCTCCCCTCACCCACTCCCAAACCCCTGCAGATTTCCTCCAGGGTCCCCGGAGAAGGGCTGGACCAGGGGAGGTTCCCAGAGGGTCGGGAGAGGTCTGCTCTGATCCAGCGCCAGATAGGAAGGGGACGGAGCTCAGGACTCACACAGGCTGAGCTCCGTAACCTGGAGCAGTCTCGTATCCCGGACTAGTGGGATAGCGAGGGGAAGCAGCTAGGATTTCCAGCTTCTGTAAACACCCCTTAAATTCTTTGGGGTAGGAGGCTTGAATTCCCAAGGGGTGGGATTCTAGGGTGTAAGTGTTCTCTGAGCAGGTCCTTGGTTCCTGGGCAGGAGGCGGGACCTGCATGTCTAGGGTTTAGGGTGAAACTTGAGCCGCACGGGCTGAGAACGGCCCAGAGGAACATGGATCAGGCCTACGGTTGGAGAGCCTGAGCGCTCAGGTGGGGCCTGAGTTTCCCGTGGTTGGAGCTTTAACGACTGGTGATGGGGCCCAGGGTGAGGTTTCAACTGGCCCAATGGGACACTGAGGAATGGCATCTACATATTCCAATGTCGAGCACTGGGGTGAGTCTGACACCGGGCCAGAGCCTTTATTCCGGGGAGGGGGGTGCTGGGGTGGAGCCTGATGAGGACTGAGGAGTGCGAGGGTAGTTCAGAGGCCCTTACGCTGCCGCTTAAGGAAGGAAAGAGTGTAGTCGCTGGGTGTAGACACCTTCTGCTTCTTCATCTGCACTTGCGATTGCGCGGTGAGCTGCAGCTTGATGGCGCTCGAGTTGATCTTGGTGGCCACCAGCAGCTCCTTCATGCCCTTCATCTTCTCGCTCTGGAAAGTGAGCACCGGACCCTCTTGTGGAGGCGATGCGGCAGCCGCAGGCGCTGGGACCGTGCTGCCGCCTTCAGGACCACGGGCAGTGCTTGGGACAGTCCCTGGGGGCTTCCGGGAGGGCCCTGGCACCACACCCTGCCCGGCGCCCAGGCCCTTGTCCAGCGCTGGCCTCTTGGGCGGCGGCTCCCCCAGGGCCTTGTCCAGCGCTGGCCTCTTGAGCGGCGGCTCTTCAGGCTTAGACTCCCGGCGGGGGCCGCGCCGCCGGCCTTCCCTGACCTCCTCACCCCAGGGCTCCTCGGCCTCAGCTGCCTCTGACTCACGGCTCACTATTCGCACCTTCTGCCGCACCTGGGGCGAATAGGGAACGCAGGCTGAGAGAAGGGCTGCGGCCCAGCGGCTGCATTCCTAGGGCCCAGCCTCAGCCACCATGGTGAGGCCTCAGTCTCATCCGCACCCAGGAGATGAGCAAATCCCCTTCAGGGCCATGAAGGTTCTGGCTCCTCTGTTGCTGCTGCCACCATCTACCCTCCCCAGTCCCACTGCGCAGCTGCCCCTCACCTGTCCTTCGAAGCGGCCTAGGGACTGCACGAGGTAGGTGGCCCAACCCACGTGCAGCACCGGCGTGGGGCTGCCCTCTTCCCACTTGCAGATGCCATCGTAGAAACGCAGCAGATGGGCGAAGCACTCTGGGTCCTGCAGGGCGGACCCCTGGCTCTGGGAGCCCTGGGTGAGGGGCAAAGGAGGGCACAGATCAGAACCCCTTACTCACCCCTTATCGGAGGGGACAGGCCAGGCCCCTCATCTCATCAAACAGCCCTGGCTCCGGAAAACATGCCCATAGGAGAGAATTCTTAGAACCCCCTTCCTTTTACAAAACCAGCCAGACTCAGAGAAAAAGAGAGACCATCCCTTACCTCCACCCCACCCCTCAACTGAATAAGGAGCCCTGGCCATGAAGAGATGGGCTTCACCCCATTCACCTGAAGGAGCAGGGTAGAAACCCCTCAAGTACCCCCAGTTCCCTCAAACCCAAGACCTGGGCTAGTGAGGGACAGAACAGAGCGGTGTGTGCTGGGCAGTCCCCAGACTGGGCAGCAGTCCCCATCCCGTGACCAGGAGCCCTGACCGAAGGGAGGCGAACACAGGGGAGACTCAGCTTTCACCTGGGTCTGCTCCCCCGGCCGCTCCTCCCCAGCCTCCAGCAGGCTGGCTGCCTCCTTCAGCAGGTTGGGGATGACATCATTGGCTACTTCAAAGAATTCCTTGTAGATCTCCTCGTCTTCCCGGCAGTAGTTGTAGCTATGAGAGCAGTAGGGCACTGTGGGGCCCTGGCTGTGGTGGGTGCCCCCAGGGACCTGGTGGGGGGTGGGACCCAGATTCCTGTCCCTGGATCATCTAGGGACCAGGTGAGTGGCTGTGGTCCTCACCCCAAAATGACGGTGTCTGTGTCAGCCCAGAGCAGGAGTGAGGAAAGGGGCGTGGGGCAGGGGTGCAGGCTTTACTGCCAGATGATAGTGGTTGGCACTGGGAGGCGAGGGGAGGGAGGGAAAGGCATGAGACCCTCATCAGGGTCCCTACCTCCTGGGTGATGGTAGCCTTGGCTGCCTAGGGGTTAGAGGAAGGGGTGGGGCTTGAGACCCAGGCCTCACTCCTGGACAAGGGTGATTGGAAATTGGGTGGAAGGGGAGGAAAGAATGGGCTAGGGCCCTCCTAGTTGGGGGGATCCTCACTCTTGGATGACAGTGGCTGTGTCAGCCCAGGCCTGCAGGGCTTCGCGCACATTGCGGTTGCGACAGTGGTAGCCGGCCAGGTACATGTAGGGGTAGATGTGCTCGTCCCGGTAGTAAGTCTTGGCCGAGGCAATGCCCTGGGAACAGAGCAGAGGGGCCTCAGGGAGGCAGCCCCTGCTGCACCGTTTGGCACAAATGTCCCATCAGATCACACCAGAAGGTGAACTAGGCAAGATCCCAGAGAGTCTCATCTCCTGTCCCACCTCCACACCCTCGTATCCCCTCTAGCAGGGCTCCTCCCTGGGTCTGCAGGACTGCTTGCTGAGGCCTGGGTCAGAATGCAGATGGGGGGGACCCCCACAGAACAAGGACTGGGGAAGGGAAGAGGCCCACCCTCCGAGCTCAGGGCATGCCCCTTCCCAGGCTTTCCCACACACCCCTACACAAACACCAAAGCCTTCCAAACTCAGCCCGATGTCCCTTTAACCCCCACACCCACCAAGTTAACACCCCTTCCTCAGTGCCTCCACATTCGACCTCTGTCATGCTCCATGAAGGACAATGAGAGGCAGTGGAAAAAAGCAAAGCTGAAGGGACAAATCCCGGCCGCACCACTCCCAGAACACGCCTCAGGCAGTGCTGAATACGTACAGGGCAAATGCAAATACACCCAAGGTTCTCTCACTTGCCCCCTCCCAGTTCCCAGGTAAACCCCAGCCACTGTTGGGTCTCCCCTCTGTACCCTCCTGAAATGTCCCCACCTTGTGGTAGAGAGTGAGTGGGTCTGGCCGGCCAGGGGTGGGCTCCAGCTCCTCCAGATCTGCCAGGTTTCCCAGTGCCATGGGGTACCTGGGGAAGGGTCATGAGCTCAGGCTGTCACCTGGCCTCCCAATCCCCGAAGGCCCAGCCTGGCCACTCCCTCTACTGACCTTTCCAGATGTCCCAGGTCATAGAGCAGCCAGAGCAGCTTCTAGAAACCAAAAGATAGAAAAAGTATGAACTAGAGGAGGGAGCAGGGAGAAGTCCTCAGTCTGCCAGAGGTGGGGTGCAACAGCAGGGACCTCCCACCAGGTGGGGAAGGCCAGAACTTAGGACCCAGCCTCTTACTGGAGTCAAAGCCATTTCACATCTCAGTACCACTCTCCCAAGAGCCTTGGGCAGGCCGGGCCAGGCATCACTAACCATGTTGCAAAAGGGGAAGCTGAAGCCCGGGGAGGGAAAGTGCCCCTGCTCGAGGGCCCACAGGCACAGCTTACCTGCTGCAGCTGCAGCAGCTCCAGGGAGTCAGTGTGCAGGTCAATGGAAGGGTTGATGGCGCACACCATGAATGCCACCTCCATCTTGCGGTCACAGCGCATGTATGATCCTTTCAGGTACAGCCAGCTCTTAGGAGAGGACAAGACCAGATGTCTCGTGGTGAGCTACCTGTGCCCACTCCAGGGAATGACAGCCGGGAAAGAGGCCCTTCTGTGTCCCCTCCTGACATATATAAGTGGTGACTGGAAGAGGGGAGTGTGGCCCAGGGAAGCAGCCCCTGGGGTAGTGTCTGCTGGAGTGTGAAGGTAGCAGGGGAAGGGGCAGTACCCGCTCAGCCACGCCCGCATTGACGGTCTGGCCCCTCCGGTCCTCATTGCCCTTGCCATGCCAGGTGACCTCAGCGGTCTGCTCTCCATTGGGTCCAAACACAACCCAGGCGTGGTCCTCAGACAGGGCGAGGTGGACATCCCGGAGACCCAGGGCCTGGCAGGCCCCCACCACAGCAAAAGCCACGCCAGAGCTGTCCAGTTTGGTGCCTGTGGAAGGGGGAGCTAATGAAAGAGGGCGGGGGGGGGGCCTGGGGGGAGGGGTCTAGGCAGTGGTAGGCAGTGTTCCCTCCCACCCTCACTCCCCCACCTCTCCATCCCCTCCCCACTGTGTGTTCAGAGCCTTGCTCTCCCCATTCACATCCCCCATCCGCACACCTTCCAGGACCTTCCTCATTCCACCCAGCCTTTTGCTCTGTCACATCTCTTTCTCTGCAATCACCTTATTTATTTATTTATTTAAAGAATTCCCTCACTTTATTATGCCTATCAGGTTATAATAGAGTGGGCAAAAACACCGCCTCTGGCCAACACTCTTTTTCCCACACACCCACTGGCTAACACTCCTAATTCACCTCGCACTCTTTTCCCTGCTTAGCTCAGAAGCAGCCTCAGGTTCCTTCTCAATATGGTGCTCCCGGATACAACTGCCAGTCAATGGGCATGGAGCAAAGGAAGATCTTTGCCAGCCCTGAGACCTAAGCCATCACTTGAGGTGAAGCCCTTAATCTGTTCCCTTTCAAAACGTTTTCATAGATATTTCATTTAATTGTCTCAAATGTAGCTAGATTTTGGCTCCTCACCCCCCAAATCTGTTGCTGTCCCCTGAGCCTCATACTGGGCTGCAGGACTCCTATAAGCTGCTCAATGGCAGGGATGGGGGGGTGGCGCTAAGGGGACAGAGGATGGTTAATGGGTTTGGAGCCAAGTGATTGGGATCTAGTCCCAGCCTTGCATTCTGTGTGACTCTGGCACATCGCTTCCCCTCTCTGGGCCTGCTTCCCTAACTGCATGGGTTAGTTAACACCTGCCCCACCTCACAAGGCCTGCAGGTCTCAAAAGGGCTCTGCAAACCAAGTGTTGTGAAGAGGTGGGTCAAGGTCTTCAGTTGGGACGGGATTATCCCTCCTTGCCAACTGTGAGGCTCCAACCTGTGATGAAGCTGAAGAGGGACTGAATGTGGGCTCGATCCTTGAAGTAGGAGCGGCTGAGGCTGTTCCAGATGACATCCGAGACCTTCTTCACCAGCTCGCGGCTGGAGACACCCCCCTCTCGGGGGTACAGAGACAGGTCCACAGCACCTCGGATCTGGGCGGTGAAGCGGGCATAGAGCGCAGCGACGATGGATAAGTCAGCCACTGGGAAGTAGGTGAAGCCACCAGGTGGGTCAGGCGCAGGGATGGGCTGGAAGGTGAGCTCGGGCACATTGGTGGGGATGACGCGGTTGACGGCTAAGAAATGCTCCACGAAGCCCAGTACTAAGGACAGGAGGACCAGGTCAGGCTCCTCTCGGCCTAGCTCGGCTGCGAACAGGCGCACCACGTCATCAATGGTGCGTAGCGGGAACAGTGTCTTCTGGGCGGCCTTCAGCCCCATGGCGGCGGTCCTAGGCCTGCGGGCGAGCCGGGGAGGAAGAGTTGGGTGGGCACAGCAGGAGAGCCCCCTCCCAGGCTCCGCTAAGGTTCCACTCCCCCCCACACACACAGACACACAATCCCTTGCTTCCCTATCTCCTTCACCCTCCGCACATCTGTTCCTGCGCCGATGAGACCCCCTCAGCCGAGGCTGTAGGGCCTCCTCATCCCCTAAGACCCCGGGAGCCACGGCCCCTATTGGCGTGCGCCTCTAGATCCGCGCTGAGGACCGCCAATGGCCGTCCCGCTCCCTCTCTACGACCGTTCCCCCAGGCCCTAGAGTCCGTCCGGAAGGCACCCTCTGGCCAACCCCCCCAAATCCCAATTAGAGTCCTACACTCAGTCCCCCGCGCCCACCTCCACGCTTACATCCCACACCAGGCACGGCGGCGCCCGCCGCCTGGAGCCTGCTGGGAAATGGAGTTCCGCCCCTCGGGCCGCACTGCCTGCCGGGAAGTGGAATCCCGGGCCCTCCCCAGCCGCTGGGGAACCTGGAAATGGTGGCCAGCGGCGCCAGTTCACTGTGGCTTATGGGAGTGGTAGTCGCTGCTCTGGGCACCAGAGAAGTAGGTGAGGAGTGGAGGCAGCGCCACCTTTCTGAGGTCCTCAGGATTTGGTCATTCCTTTTCACGCAACCAGGTAGCCGATGAACCGCAGTGCATTCTGGAAGGTGTGGTCCGGAGAGTGACCTGGCACCTTCAGAAGGTCACTGGGCTTTTGTAGGTTATCACGTGTCAGTAAGATACGAGGAAAATGGGTACTTTCCAATGCTGCTGCGGTATAAATGTGTGCAGCCACTTGAGTTCGACATTTTTCGGAATGTATTCACAGGTAAATGTGCTTAATCTATGTCTAGCAGTTCTTCCCATGAGATGCACAGAGCAGCATGGGAAGAACCATTGCAGCCCTGACTTGTGTGGCTCAGGGGGTTGGGCGGAGTCTCGCAAACCTGGTCACAGGTTCAGGTACTGGTCAGGGCACAAACTTGAGTTGCCTCCGGTTAGGGGGGTGGGGGAGTGAGCTTCTCCCTCCCTTTCCCCCCTCTCTAAAAATAAATAAATAAAATCCTTAAAAAATATATTAACAAAAAAATACAATAAAAAATAAAAGGGTACAAAAAATAAAGTTACACTTAAAGAAATACTGAGAACCGTTGCAGTTGTTTGTAATAGGGTAAAAGTTAGAAGAATGGCATAGCTCTGTCGTAAAATTGCTCTTCAGGACACGCTGTTGAAGGGGAAAAGCTGCAGAACAGCATGTTCGATAGGATAGTGTCTATAATTAACACTTTATTTTATTTTATTTTATTTTATTTTATTTTATTATTTTTTATGACTCCAGCTAAGCTCATTTTTTGGCCCCAGGTCAGCCCTCCAAAGGGTTTCCCAGCCAGTCACCTCAAGACTTCTTCCTTGGCAGGTCTTTCCATCACCTCAACCCTTGACTTCTGGTACCACTTGCTGCTGCCACTTGAGCTCCAGTCTCTGTCCCACAGCCGTGACCAGGAGCTCAAAGCATGACTACCAGTTTGAAGATACCCACAGACTTGGCAGGAACCATACCACCCTTGGGCAGCCCAGGTGACAGATTCATAGCCTCCAAGTTATTAGGGTGGGGCACGTAGACCTCCTTAGTGTAATCAATGACCCCCCGCCTCCTGGGCATACAGACACTTCTTCCCCAGCCCCACATGGCCACCTGGGTGCCGCAAACATGGCGCTGAGTCCCAAGGACATTGCTGGTGTGAACCTAGTGACTCTCCATTTTCTCGATGTCAAAGCGAGGCAGAAGATAGGAGGGAGGAACTTCCAGAGGTGCCCCAGGGCTACGATAAAGGACACCGATACAGGGCAGAGACTCTGTTCTAAGACAGGTTGTTCCTGCTTTCTGAAAAAGTGCTGCAACACAGTGACGTGTGAATGCACCTGGGCAGAAGATGCTACATGACCCCTGCTTCATTCCAATAAATTAACATTGTGGGACCCCCTTCCCTGGTGGCCAATCAAGGAAAATCATGGGAGACCACATGCACAGTAGCTTTAAAGTAATATAACTACTTGTACATGCATAATAAAAGCCCATCAAAACTAGTCAGGAATATCTGCCCTTTAAGAGTAGAATTTCTCCAGTCCCTAAGGTCAATCTCTGCTCGAGATTGTATACTCCCACCTTCTGTGCTTGACAAATCTGCTTTCTGTCTTTCTGCTGTAAATTCTGCATATTCAGTTCAAATCTTTGTCCACAATCACCAAGAACCTGGTTACCTGTGCCCATCTGTGGCATGACTTTCTCCCTCCTTTCCCCATACTGTAAAAATAAATAAATAAAATATTTTTAAAAATAAAACATCCAATTTCTGCCCTACTTCACCTGTGTGGGTTTTCTTCTTCAAAATCATGAGAAGACATCTAGCAAACCCAAAGTGAGGAACATTCTATAAAATACCTGACCAGTACTCCTCAAAAGTGTCAAGGTCATGAAAGAAAAGGAAAGACTGACTTCTGGTCAAGATGGAGGCATAGGTAGATACACTTTGCTTCCTTGCACAACCAAAAGAAGGACAACAACAAATTAAAAACAAAAACCAACAAGAAGTGCCAGGAAATTGAACTGTTTGGAAATCCAACAACCAAAGAGTTAAAGAAACATTCACCCAGCCTGGTAGGAGGGGCAGAGACTGGCAGCTGGGGCGGAGAAGACTCGAAACAAGGCAGCAGCTGGCAGACCGGGCAGTCCTAAATTCAGGTGCGGATAAGCCAGGAGGAACAACTTGGGGAACCAAGGTTCCAGCATGGGAAACTAAAGCTTCAAAACTTTAGGCTGTAGCCCTGGGTAGTTTAGCTCAGTGGATTGAGCACAGGCCTGTGAACCAAACAACCGCAGTTTAATTCCCAGTCGGGGCACATGCCTGGGTTGCAGGCCAGTTCCTAGCAGGGGATGCACGAGAGGCAACCACACGTTGATATTTCTCTCCCTCTCTCCTTCCCTTACCCTCTATAAAATATTCCTTAGGCAATCTGTCGGGGGGCGTTGTGGTGGTGGGAAAAACTCCCAGCCTCACAGGGAAGTGTTCGTTGGAGAGACCCACTCATTCCCACTCGTTCCCAGAACATACACAAGCCCACTCACCTAGGAGTCAGCACCAGAAGGGCCCAATTTGCTGTGGGTAGCAGGGCAGTGACTGAAAGTGGAGCAAGAGCCCAGCAAGCAGGATTGTTCCCTCTGTGGCCCCTCCCCCACATGCAGCATCACAAGGCAGTGATGTGGTTGCCCCGCCCTGGCTAATACCTAGGCACCGCCCCTTACAATGTAACCAGTGTGCCCAAAGAAATATGGCCCAAATGAAAGAACAGATCAAAATACCAGAAAAAGGCCCTGGGTGGTGTGGCTCAGTGGACTGAGTGCTGGCCTGCAGACCAGCAGGTTGCTGGTTTGAGTCCCAGTCAGGGCACATGCCTGAGTTGCAAGCAGGGTGCCCGGGAGGGGGCGCACGAGAGACAACCACACATTGGTGTTTCTGGTGTTCCTCTTCCATCCTCTCTGTCTAAAAACAAATAAACAGAATATTTAAAAAAAAAAAGAATTAATAGCATGCAGTATAAGGATGGAAGAAATGACCACGAATGTCCTGTGTGTATGAATGAAAACAAATGAAGTATCTGTGTTATATACATATATATGTGTCTATAAAACAATACTCAAAGCTATGTCCACAAACACCATGTCATGGAAATTCATTCATTCGTAAATTAAAAATAAAAACAACAACAACAAAAACCCTCCAGCCCTGGTTGATGTGGTTCAGTGGATTGAGCCCCGGACTGCAAATCAAAAGGTCGCCTGTTCGAAACCCAGTCGGGCACATGCCTGGGTTGCAGGCCAGTTCCCAGCAGGGGACGCACGAGAGGCAACCATACATTGATATTTCTCCCCCTATCTCCTTCCCTTACCCTCTAAAGATAAATAAATAAAATAAAAAATAAATAAAATTGACCTTTAAAAAAAAAGAGGAAATGGAGAAGCCAAAGAATTTATATACATGACCCATGGACATGTACTAAGGTCGCGGGGCTTGCTGGTGGGAGGGCATATGCAGGATGGAGGGGAGAAAGGGGAGAAAAAACGGAACAGTTACAGTAGCATAATCAATAAAATATACTAATAAAAGAAGAGGAGAGACTGAGAAACTGATTATATTACAGATTATAAGAAACTAAGGAGATAGGACAACTAAATACAATGTAGTGGATTGAATCCTGGAACAGAAAAAGGATGTTAATGGAAAAGCTGGTAAGTAGGATGGTGGATGGTCCCGGTTTGTCCAAGACTGAGGAGGGGATCTCAGGGGTACAGAACTTTCTGTTTTAAAACCAAACCAATCACGTCTTGGGCACCAAGGAGCCCCACTTGTGAAATTCAAATAAAGTTTGTAGTTTCGTTCATAGTTTTTATCAATTATATATATAATTGATGAAACATATATACATGAGTTCGTTTGAGTCAAACGAATGACATATGCCAGGGTGCAAGATCTCACATGCTCCCTCATTGCTCTTGCTTAGCAAGCGAGGGTTGTCGGACTGCCAGCCTTGACCCAATGGAGGCAATGGGAGCCCCTGAGTGAGAGCTTTGGCCTTTGCTGGGAGCACGAACAGTTTATCCACAATCATCGGACAGAAGACAGGAGACAAAGGCACGTGTGATGGGTACTTGGGGGCTGCCTGTGCACTGTAGGTTGTCCAGCAGCATCCTGGCTTCTACCAATAGATGCCAATGGCACTTCTCCCCTTGTTGTGACAACTGGAAATGACTCCAGATGTTGCCAATGTCCCCTGGGTGGTGGGGGGGGGCAAAGTGCCCCTGTTGAGAACCACTATTCTAGCATATAATGTGATTTACTGATTTGTTTATCATTTGCTTCCTCCCACTTACATACGAGCCCCACAGGGACAAGGGATGTCTAACACATAATTAGTGTTCAACAAATATTTGCTGAATAAATGAATACATTCATGAAAAAAGCAACTATAATTCATGACAGACCTGGAATTCAGGCTGTGTGAGGAGGGATGCAGGGACACGAGAGGGGTGAGGCAGGGCGGAGGCGAGGTGAAGTCCTGGGCTGCAGGTCCCAGGGGGGCCAGCTGGAGAGGTTGGGGTGTTGTGAGTGGGGCTCTTGACACCAGGACGGTGTCGTTTTTTGGCAATGAAAAGACCCAGGGCAGTGCTTGCGGTGGAAGTATGAGGAGCACGTGCAATTTCAAACTGTACTTGTTAAATTTTTATTATTTTTTAGGGAGTGGGAAAGGAGCAAGAAAGAGAGGGAGAGAGAAATAGTGTCGTGCAAGAGAAACATTGATCTGTTGCCTCTTGCCCCCCACCGGGGACCCGGCATGTGCCTTGGCTGGGAATCAAACCGGTGACCTCTCTGTCTGGAGGCCGGCACTCAGTCCACTGAGTCACACCAGCCGGGGCATATATGCAATTTTAAAGTTTCCGGTGGCTACATTAAAAAAGAAAAAGACAGAAGTGAGATAAGTTTTAATAATATATACCCCAAATGTTACTTCCACTTGTAATCAATATAAAATTATTCATGACAATTTATATTTTTTTCCTTGCTGAGTCTTTGAAATCTGGTGTGTATTTTAAACTCACAGCACGTGCTAGTTCAGACCAGTCATATTTCAAGTGCCCAGTAGCCACACGCACGCAGCCGGCGGCTCCCAACAGGACAGCGCCGCTGGAGCGAGTGGCTGGGGCGTGGTGAGGACAGGATCACGGGAAAAGAGTTAAAGGACCTGAAAGGCCTGGCGGCTGCCTCATCCACAGGCGTATCGAAGTCTCTAAGAACCAAAGCAGGAGCAGGATGGACGGACGGACATCCACCCAGGAGCTAAAACGATGGAGCCGTGCGAGACCCCTGAGGTGTCAGAAACAAAGTGGGCGGCATAAGCTGCAAACGCAAGTTCAAGCCTGAGTGTTTGAAAGGAGGAAGGAAGAGGATGCCTGCCCCACCTCCAGGTGTCTTGGGTGAGGGGTGGCAGGAAGGGTGGGGACAACTTTGGGGGCATGAGGTAGGAGCGGCAGTGACCTCAGGGAGGACAAAGTTTCTGCCAGAAACCTCAGTTTAACAGGACGGGATGAGGATTTGGGGGATTTCGCCACAGATGGACCATCAACTCTTGCAGGCACAGTGGACACCTATCAGGAGCTGAGGGGACCCAATGGGAAGGCAAAGATGGTCAGAGCTATAGACAGAACCAGGAGCCCTGAGTCCCTGATGGTGAGATGCATCAACAGGGACGAATGGCAGGACCAGTGCTGACGGTCTCCAGGAAGGGTGGGCGGGGGAGCCAGCTGTGAGGATGGGGGCACGGAGGGCATTTGTATATACAGACACAGGTGAAGACGGAGGTGAAACAGGAGCAGCACGAAGTTGACAATCGGCGAATCTAGGTGGACAGTATGGGGAGTCGTGATCTTTCTGTAGGTTTGAGAATTTGTTAACATAAAATGTTGGGAGGAAATGAATTCTTACAAAATGTGCAAATCTTTTGGCCAAACTGTTGCCAGGCACTAGGCAAATGGCCGTGCTCCAGTCTGGAGGCTGATCAGACGCCTTAATTTGCAAGAGGCCTCAGGTTCCCTGGGCGCTCGCTTCCGGCTTCGGGCTTCTGCCTCTCCAGAAGCAGAACAAACACATTTCTTAAGTGGGTTAAAGACATTTCACACTCATTGTCTCACCAAATCTCACCAGAACCACCCATGAGATGGGTTTTATGATCCCCACTTACCAAAGGGGAAACTGAGGTTCAGGGAGGTCAGGTGACGCACCTGTGACGGCACACCTAGACCAGACTCCAGGCTGTCTGACCCCCAGGGTTGGGCCCCTAACCAGGCCCTGGGATTCCACGGGAACCCCCAACCCCATCCCTAACCAGACGGGACACTCGAGCCCTTGGTATTTCTAGCAGTAGAGCCTGCATGAGCCTGGGACACAGCCATCAGTCCCCAAGGCCTGCCAGGATCCCAGGGCACACGCCTTACCCTCCCACCTCATCCAGCTCTTCCCCCCGCCCCGTTCCACCCAGTCACCTTACAAGACCAGTCCCAGACCCGCCTGGATGGGTTGGGACCAGGGCAGGCGCTCCAGATCCGTGCCTGCCCTTCCCCACCCAGCTCAGGGGGCCTAACTAAGGCCACCTTTAGGACCCGCCGTAACCCTGAGCTCAAGGGTCCTCTGGCTGCTGCCTGGGTCTGGACAAAGGGAGGCAGGAGATGGGGGAGGGGTACTGAGTCAGGAGGAATTTATTTCCTGGGCTGCCTTCCTGCTGGGCCGTGGCTCTCAGGTCACACCACTGTCCCTTCCTGCCTGAGGGCTGGGAGGGCGGCACGGTGAGGGGGCACCACCAATCCTCGGTGGGTCCCCTTCCTGCTGCCCACTTTTGAAAACCGTCCTTTGTTATTAAACTCTCTCCACTGACCCCCACGTGAATGTGTCACCTGCTTCCTGAGAATATGAAGGCAACCTGACCCTTAACTTCCCTTGATGACTCTCGTTCCTCCCTCCGTTTCTGACCGCCCCCAAACTTTGGGAACCCCAGGAAGACAGACCCAGGCGGGGAGGCCAGCAGCTCACGAAGTTGTCTTTATTGTTTCCTTACTGTCTCGGAGCGTCAGGGTCGACCCCTCCCGGAACAGGGCATTTGAGGAGATAAATACTTATTCTGCCCCCCCGCTCATGAGCGGGGGGAGGTTTAATAAAAATAGTAATATAATAACAATAATAATGACTATGATCAATAATAAAATGTCCCACATGACCCCGTAATACACAGTCGGTCGAAGTTTTGAGAAAAAGGACCCCCTCATTTGAGGGAGGGCCGGAGTGTGCCTGGAGACCCTCAGCGGGCCTGTTGGGCGCCCGTCCCGTCTCCCACCAAGTAGCCCGTATAAATACCCTCCCCACCCGCCCCCGTTAGGAATGACCCCATCTTCTGGACGGATCAGAGGACATGGGCTTGCGGAGCCCCTCCCTGTTCCCAACCCCGAGCTCTTCCCCAGACCCCCAGACAGGACCGGTAGGTGTCCCCTCCCCGTCCCCTCTTGCCTCCCCTCTCCGTCATCCCTCCTGCTTTGTCCCTTTCTCCTTCTCTGAAGGCTTTTCCCTCCTTCCCATCCTATCACCTCCACGTCCTTGCTCCTCACCTGTCTCTCACCCCTTTCACCTACATCCTTCCCCTCCTTCTCTAGCTTCCTTTCCTGGAGATCAGAGCCTGTCCCTCCCACCCTGGCCCTGAGCAGAGACTGGGATATGGCCTCATTGGTGGCTAGACGTGCGCAGCCCAGACCTGAGACTGCTCCGGGACCCAGCCCTCCTCCGCCCCTCACCTCAACTCTTGCTTATCAGCCTCCCAAGGCCTGGCCTGGCACTGGAAACCAGAGTTTTGGCACAAGCATCAGTGGACACCAGGACAGAAGGGGCCCCCAGGGCAGAAGGCGGGCCATTCTCTTCCCAGTGGCGAGCACAGGTCGTCACTGGGAGCAGAGGAGAAAGGTGGGGTGAGGGCTGGGAGTCAGGCTCCCCGGGTCCTGGGGACCCAGGCCAGCCTCCCAGTCTCTACCCAGCGCAGGCTCTCCCTGAGTCCGAATTTCCGCGTGTCCCGGACCAGCCGGAGTATGGCATTCCTCAAGGTCTTTGTTCCCTCACATCTCAGTCCCGGGATGTGGGTGGGCCCTGCCGGAGGGTGTCAAGGGGAGCTCTCTGATTCGGGGGCCAGGGGAAGGCTCCGGGGCCGCTCTGAGACCTGGAGGGAAAAGAGGAGGTCAGGGGTGGGAAGAGGAAAGCAGGACTCTGTCCTCACCGGGCCAGGGCCTCCAGAGGCCTTTCTGGGACGCGTCACCTGCCCCACAGGCCCTTGGAGGCGGCCAGATGCGAGGGGGGTGGGGCTGCATGAGAAACACCTGGGGGGCTCACACTAAATCCTGGAGCCCCAGTTAAAGTTCCTTTGTTCATTCACTCCATTATTCAGTCATTCAACAAACATGTTTTGCTTTGGAAAAAGACAAACTTGACCCCCACCACCAAAGAGCCCACAGTTGAGGGAGGAGGACTGGCAAGCACAGCAGAAGTGACAAGAAACAGGTGGGAGGAGGGCCAGAAGGTGGACCAGCCCCAGGGAGGCAGCGACTACCTGACTAGGCAGCCTGGTGATATTGGCGCAGATCTCTGAGGGTGACCTGGACACTAACCAGGCAGAGGACAGGAAAGGGCATTCAAAGCAGGGGAGCAGCAGGGGCAAGAGGCTGAAGATGTGAAAGAACATGGTGCCCTGGCTGGTGTGGTTCAGTGGGTTGGACGCCATCCTGCAAACCAAAAGGTTGCCGGTTCGATTCCCAGTAAGGACACATGCCTGGGTTGCAAGACAGGTCCCCAGTTGGGGGCATACCAAGGGCAACAATTGATGTTTCTCTCCCTCTCTCTCTCTCCCTCCCTTCCCCTCTCTCTAAAATAAAAGTAAATAAATAAAATCTTTAAAAGAAATAAGAGAGAGAGGAAGCAAGACAGAACATGGCAAGTCCCAGAACTCTGAGTGGCCCAGTGTGGCTGGGGGGTGGGGAGGCTGGGAGTTGGGGACAAGGCTGAAGGATGGGTAGGAACCTTCGCATTTCCTCTGAAGTCCTCCCCAGGCCCCAGCCAGGGCGAATCGCTCCTTCCCGTGGGCTAAGCCTCTGTTAATCAAGAATCCCAAGAGGTGCCCCCTCTGTGGCTCTGTCCACATGTGCCCAGCACCAGGCTGAGGTGTCGTTACCTCATACAAGTCTCACAATAACTGCACTTTACAGGCAAGATCAGCTTAGAGAGGGCGGGCACCTTGCCCAGAGCCACAGCACTGGGGGAGCCGAGATGCCCAGCTCCACTGTGGGGGGGCAGGTAAGAGCCGCATCTGTGAGGATTCAGGGAAGGGATGGGCTAAGCTCACTCTCCGGCCTCAGGTCCCAGCGAAAGGCCTAATACAGGACAGAACCGACCGTCCTTACACTGGGGGAGGGAGAAGCCCCCCTCCCCCCGCTCACCTGTATCAGGGAAGTTGCGGGGCTCAGGGATCCCTGGGGACAGGACACGGACTCACTGGACAGAGATGTCCAAGGCTTTCTCTTCACTGTTCCAGAAACGGGATGCGGGGACAAAAATCCAAGGTCAGATTCAAGAGGTCCAAAAAAAGTGGAAAATTGGGGGCGGGGAGGCTGTGGGGCTGTCCTTACTGGCGTCCGCCTTCCCATCGCTGCCCGTGGAGGCTGGGCGCCGGGAGGCCTCGGAGAAGCTGTGGGGCCGCTGTGGGACGGAGCTGCGGGCACCTCGACCCTTCGTTTCAGGAGCCTGCTGGGCACAGTGCGGAGGGGTCGGTACTCAGAGGCACCACAGAGCATGCCCAGTGAACCGCAGCCATCCACCAGCTTGGACGGGCTGACCACACGGGCTCCAGGGGAGCCGAAGACTGCAAGCGCACGGAGAAGCCAGCGATTGGCTCAGCCTCACCTAGGTTTGTGATTGGTGCCACAAGACTCACCGGGGACAGGTCCCTGGTGCTGGGCTTCCCTTCAGTGGGGCCCACGTGCACCAGGTGGTTGAAGTTGGTGGGCGGTGAGATGAGCTTGGAGCGCATAAAGGGGTCCTTCAGCATCTCCCTGTTGGCAGAGGAGGTGTAGGAAGGAGGGCTGTGGAGGTGGTATCTCCCCCGCCCCCTCCCCCAGAATAGACTCTCTGCCCCCCTGGGGGCGGACCCGTGTTTCGCCCCGCCCCCAAGAGCAGGAGGCCCCGCCCCCACTGGTGAACCTGCGCTGCTGTTGCCTCTGCTCCTCAGACACCCGGAAAAAGAAGCGGCGCTTGCTCTTGGTGCGGAACAGCTGGCGCCGGCTGTTGTCGGTGAGGTCGGGGATGTTGAACTCGTCCTTCTCTGTAGGAGAAGCAGAGAGCTGGGCAGTGCCCCCAGATCGCCAGGGCCCCAGTCAGCTGGTGCTCAGGGTCACACACACACACAGGCGGCAGAGGCGAAGGCACACTTGTGTACTCACGCACGCTCCCTCACCTGCCAGACAGTTCCTGAGGTAGGTCAGGCGGACCTTCTCGGTGCCAAAAAGGAACAGGGAGCCCTCTAGGTTCAGGGGCCGCACCTGAGGCAGCAGGCACAGAGTCAAGCCATGCTACCCTGGCTCACCCCAGCCCAGCCCCCGGGGCCTTGGCAGGCCCTCCTGCTCTTTTTTTTTAATGTTTCGTTTTCCACTAATTTTTTTTAGAGCAGAGAGGAAGAGAAACAGAGAAACCTCTCCTACTGGCTGCCTCTTGTACATGCCCCAACCAGGGACCAAACCCACAACCTGGGTATGTGCCTCGACCTGGAATCGAACCCACCACCTTTTGGTCCAGGGGGTGACGCTGCAACCTACTGAGCCACACCAGCTGGGGCAGCCCTCACCTTCTTGAGCGGCACAGTTTGGACCCATTCTGCTTTCCTCACGTCAAACACATCAATGGAGTTCTCACTGAACACCGTCAGGTAGGGGACGCCGTAGCCTGCAGGGCAGAAGCTGCCTGTGGTCTGCAGCCCCGGGCAGGTCGTGCACCTCCCTGGCCTGTCTCCTCCGCATTACCACGGGCACGCCCTGCGCCCCGCCACCGCGGTGACTTTCTGCCGCACCAAAAGTCCTCCTTCTGAAGCCTCTCCAGGTTGCCCCACCCAACTTCCATGACAAACCAGAGATAACAATCTTGGAGTGCCACTCTGTGCCATGCCAAGCATAGTTCTAACCACTTTGAACATTTCCCCTCCTTTAATTCTCAAACAACCCCTAACTTACAGATGAGGGACCAGCAACCTCAGAGCTAAGTAATGGGCAGGTCACCCAGCGATGAGTGAGAGCTGGGAACTGGCCCCAGGCTGTCTGCCACCCCCGCCCCCCGCCTATGTGTTGGGTGTCTTGGCTACACCCAGCCCATGGGCTCCACCCCAGAAGGGCCACTGCTCCTGCAGGGAGCTCTGTCCCTCTTTCAGCCAGTGCCCGTCACACCAGTTACCTGCCAGTGTGCCCGGCTCCCCACCCCCCACCCCCACTCATTCGTTCATCCATTCCTGGGTTTGAAGAAGAAACCAGCCCCAGCCAGCGAGGGGGCCCCCAGTGCACCAAACCAGTCATTACAGAGGAGGCACTGAGAGCCAGGGCAGAGGTTTGAAGAAAAACATGGGGAAGCACAAAGGAGCAAGGGACTAATGATGGGGGAGGGCAGGGAAGGGGGCATGGAAACAAGGACAATGACGGGGATCGTGGTGGTCATCTCCGGAGGGCCCGCCAACCCCAGGTCCTGAACAGACATAGGGGCTGGACTTGGGTAAGAGTTTGCCAGGTCCAAGGAGAGCAGTTCAGGCAGGAAGAGGAAGGTCCTCTATGATCCACCGAGGTCGGAGCAGGGCATGGTTGGGAAGAGGGTGCACGCTGGCTTCCAATGCCAAGCTCAGGAGTTTGGGTAAGACCCTGTCTTCCTTTTGTGTGTGGGATACACGTCAGGGGCCTGGCCCCACCCAGTCTGGCCCTCCACTGGCCTTACCCCAGCCCGTGGGCAATGCTGGCCACAGCAGCTCGTGGATGCGGGACTTGCGACCGGCACTGTCCACGTAGACACCAGCGGTGGTGAAGAGTAGCAGGAACTCACTGAGGCTGAGCTCCACGGCGCCCATGGCCTCGCCCAGGCCCCCTCTCGATGGTGGCAGCTCCTCGGGCACCAGACCGCCCCCCAGCGCTAAGGGCGCAGCCTCATTGAGCAGCGGGTAGAGGGAGAAAGCACCAGCTGCACCCACACACAGCCGGTCCCCCAGCAGCTCCAGGCTCTGCACAGGTGCTGCTGCCTGCAGCTCTCGGATGCGGTGCTGCCAGGGCCCCGGGCCTGGGCCCAGCTGGTAGCAGAGCACTTGGCGCTTGACCGCGATACAGAGCACAGGGGTGCGGGCCTGCAGGATGCGTCCGGCTGCCAGCGCCTGGCAGCCTCGAGACTCAGGGATCTTGGCGCCTGCCACCTCCGCACTCTCCAGCTCGGCCAGGGGGAAGAGGCGCACGCTGGGGCCGCGGCCACACAGCACGATCAGAAGACCCGCGGTGGGGCTCACAGCCAGCCGCTGCACCCGCCGGCACTCGCCCACCTGGAAGATGTCTGCAGAGTTGGCGAGGGACAGTGTCACCCTCAGGAAGGTGAGAAACAACCTGGTGCCCACCCTCCTGCCCCCCGGGGCCAAGCCCCACCCACACCGGCCTTCGCCCCGGCTGCACACACCGTTGCTGTGCAGGTGGATCACAAACAGCCCCTCCTCGGTGCCCAGAGCGAGCCGGTCCTGGTCTGGTAACAGGAAGGAGTCAGGGGTCAGAGGGCCTGTCAGAGGCGGAGACTGGGTAGTCCACCTGCCCTTAACAAGCCTCAGTTTCTCCCTGTGTCACTGAACCCTTTTGCGGGGTGAGAGTGTTCAGCTCACTGCAAGCCTTGCAGGTAAGTGCCCCTGTGCCCCCAACTCCTGCCTGACACGGATCGGCGTGGTCTCTCCTGTGGCCCCCACCCTGAGTGAGTGTGGGGAGAGGTCCCAGCTTGCGGGGTGGGGGCTGGCTCAGGGCCCGGGCTGCCAGGGGAAGACAAGGAACTCTGCTAGCACCTCTCCCCTGACCGGCCGTCACGGAGGCCCCAAGATCCTTGCTGAACACGGCAGCCCCATGGGAGACGGTGTGAGGCTCAAGTGCATCCAGTCTCTCCCAAGGCCACCCAGCTGCTGGTAAGAGAGGCTGGGGACAAATCCCTAATCTATTTCTTAAAGCCTTTGCCCTATTCAATCACCTGCCTTAGAAAAAGCAGAAATGGAGGCACAGAAATGTCGAGCGGCAGAAGCCAGGCCTGCTGCTCCCTAGCCTGGGCTCCTCACACTGCTATGCCCAGGGGACAGTCGGGGGGGACGTGTGCAAGGCAAAGTCCACAGCTCATGGCTGCAGTGACCAGATGGTGACAGCGGCCCTCATGACTGTGGCTGGGCCAGCACTGTCCCCGCAGGCTCTGACTCCTCCCCCCAGCCTGCCTCACCCCCATGGGCAGCACCCCCGGCCAGACTCACCAACGATGGCGGCACAGAGCGTGTGGGGCAGCAGCGGCAGCCCATTGTCATAGGCCTCCTTGAGTGTGTACACAGGCCGGGCCCGTGGCCGAGCGTCCAGCAGCAGCCGCTGCAGCTCGCCCAGCACCTGCAGCCAGCGCTCCCGCTCGCCCTCGCTCTCCGCCAGCAGCAGCACGGTGCACGTGGCGGGCGGCACCGTCAGCTGGGAGGCTGTCACCTGCGGCAAGACACCCAGGCTGGAGGCCCACAGGCCGAGGGCCAGTTGTCGTTCCTCCCTTCTCTCTCTCCAGCAGCTGATGCTTATTGACCCGGACGTGAGCTTGCTGGGCGCAGAGTTAGACGCTATCTTAGAGCGGACGATGAGACAGACAGGGCGGTCAGACAAGCACATACACAGCCGCAGAGCGACAGTGGTGGGGGTTCGGGGCATGGTGGGGACACGGAGCAGGGCCCCAACCCAGGCCGGCCTCCCGGGGGAAGAGGCGTTTCTGCTGGAGGCAGGGTGGGGGGAATGAGTGGAGTACCCAGAAATGGTCGAGGTAGGGGAGGGGCTGGCAGAGGGAACAGATGCGAAGGGGTCCACGAGCTCGGGACGCTTGCAGAAGTGGTCAGAGTAGAGACAGACTCCTGGGAGAGGCCGGGAAGGCCTGCAGGGTCAGAAATGGGGCCTCGAGGCCACAGTCGGGAGCACACTGAGGGCAACAGGGAGCCACAGGAAGAGTCCTAAACGAGCCAGCTTCACACATGGAAAACTCTGTGCCCCGCAGGGCAGAGCATGCGTGCACAGACCAGAATGGAGGCTGGTGTAGCCATCCATGTGGGGGCGGGGGCGGGGTGAAGGCGTCAGCCATGGGGATGGAGGACAGTCGCTGCAAGGGGGTCGGGCCGGCATGACAGCAGACGGTGGTCTGACCCACCCTGCCCCAGGCACTTACCCTAAAGATGCGTGGCAGGTCCTTGGACTGGGCATGGATGACATCAGAAGCCAGGACAGGGGTGGCTGAGAACTGGGGGTCCCTGGGAGGTCCACGGAACAGGTCAGAGGTGGCACTGCCCTTGGCTGCACCCTACCCACCCACTTATCCTTTGCCCCCATGCTACCGCCTGGCACCCACCTCAGATCCAGTGCCTGTAGGAGGGCCCCGCTGGCCGGGCTGAGCCGAGGGTCCGGAGCGTCAAACAGCAGCAGGCGCGAGTCGCTGAGGGCAGCAAATACCCGCTGCCAGCCCCGCCGGACACCCGAGGGCCGTGGTACCTGGGGAAGGCAGCCATGGGACGGCCTGCCAGGCCGCAGCCCCCGCCCCCGGCCACCCCCCCAGGTCCCAGCTCACCGACAGGAAGCCCTCATAGGCAGTGCCTGTGCCTGTTTCGGGGTGCACACCCAGGGCCGCACAGAGGAGGTCAGAGGGCACAGGGCAGGGTGGGGCCTGAGGGGCACAAGTCGAGTGACAGAAGTAACCGCAGGCTGTGGGGAAGCAGGAGACGGCAGGCATGTGGCGTGAGGTGGGTGGGGACAGTCCGGAATCAGGACTCTGGGTGTTCCCAGCCCCAGCTTCCCTCAGGCCGTGGTGGCACCCGAGCTGTCACCACCTCCCCACCAAGCGAGGAGAACAACAAAAACCGCAGTGGGAAACTTGGCCTGCGCTGAGGCAGGCCGCCGGGGTGTGTCGGGAGCAGGGCTGCTTCTGTTCCCTCCTCCCAGGGCTGTGGCTGGTGCCTGGGAGGTGGGGGCGCGAGTAGGATGAGGGGTCTCACCGTCACAGCCCAGGCCCTGGCGGCCCAGGCCCAGCATCAGGGAGGTACAGCGCAGACACTTGGTGGGGGACGGGAAGCTCCGGGGGCGCAGCGTGTGTGACCCGGGCTAGGGAGGGGAACATGACCGTTACTGGTGCCTGACCCCCGCCTCCTAGGGCCCTGAAGTGGCCGGCAGGACCAGGGAACGGCCAGGTGGCAGCGCAAACTCCAAGCCCCAGCAAATCTGTGGCATCACAGACTCGTCGTCACCGCTGCCACCCACGTGGTCTACTGGCCACGATGCCCAGGGCGGAACCCAGAGGGTCCTCGGAAACCCAGCGGAATGGCGTGGCCCCCATCCCGCCCCACCCAGCCAGGCACCGACCTTCGTGGGAGGACTTTCTGCAGGGACTGCGGTAGCAGCAGGTGCTCTGGGGAACACGGCCTGTGGGGGCGGGGTGGGGGGCAAACGGGTAAGAAGCGTGTGGGCAGAGGGCCCCCCAACTGCGGGTCTCCCACTGGTCCTCACCCCCATGCGCAGGCTGCGCCGGCCCTCTGGCCTCAGCTCCGGCTCCACTCCGGGTCTCGGTGCCTCTCCTGAGATGCCAGGGTCCCTGGCAGAGTCCTTCTGGGGTTTAGGAGCAAAGTCAAGGTCCCTGTGCCTCTCGCCAGGACTGCTTCCCAGCCGGCCCCTCCACCAGGTTCTTACCTCTGAGCCCCGGAAAGACAGGAAGGGGATCAGGGAGTTGGAGGGCTTGGCATCTGAAAACAGAGGGTGTGGGTCACTGGGGCTCGGGTCCCTAGTCCAGCCCTGACACTTACTCCTGAGGAACCAGGGACCAGTTGCCACCTCAGTAAAATGGGACAATGACTGTAGCCTGTGGTGGTGGGACCTGGCATACAGCAGGTGCTCAGTAAGTGCTGGCTAACAGGTGGTGGGCTAAGTGGCAGTCTGGAACAAATTCTCGTCTCCACAGCCCTGCAAGGCTGTGCAGAACCCTCTTGGTAACTGCGAGTCGGGAGTGGGGGACCTGCTCCCAGACAGGCGTGCAGATGGCCACTTACCTCCTGGCCCGCGGGTCCGCAGCTCCTCCCGAAGTGCAGCCAACTCCTGCTGCAGGCCCCGGTTCTGCTTCTCCGCCTCCTGCAGACGGCTGGGGGAGAGCCAGGGCAGAGCTCACCACAGGCCTCTGAGCGGGCCCTGGGTCCTGGGTCCCCTCCGCCTCGCCAGCCCCGGCCTCACCTCTCAGCCTGCAGCTGGGCCTCCTGCACCTGCGTCAGCTGCTCCTGCAGGCCCTGCTTGGCCCGGATCTCGGCCTCCAAGGCCAATTGCAGCTCCAGCCGGGCCGAGGCCTCCATCTTCTGCAGCCGCCTTGCCTTCCACTGGTGGTCCTGGTGGCCGGGGGCCCCATGTAAGATGCCTCCTGGGACTGGCTGCCTCAGAGGCCCCTTCCCACCAGAGCACGACACTGCCCGTGCCACCTAGCCAGGCTCAAAGCCTCAGCTTTGCCGCTGACATGCTGTGGGCTTGAGCAAGTCGCTGCTCCTCTGTGAGCTGTGGCCTCACCTTCAGAATGGGGCTATTGGCACCACCCCACCCCCATGGGGCATCTCTGGGGCTCACCAGAGGCTGTGCGGGCAGTGTCTGGGTGCCCACGTTCTTTAAGGACTCCAGCTCCTCGGCCATCTTGGTGGCCAGGGCCTGCAGGTAGCCTCTTGAGATCTTCTCATCATTCACCCTGATTGGAAAGGGGGCTCAGGGTCAGGGGCTGGGCACTCAGCTCTGCCTGGGCCCAGCCCCCAGCCCTGGACCCCTGGCCCAGCAGCACCCACCAGCTGAGGATGTCAGCAATCTGGGCCTCCCAGTTGCCCTCTGTCTCCCGCCGCTCGCCCTCCAGGCGCTGCCTGCTCTGCTGCTCCCGCTCCAGCTCTTCCACCAGCTGGGGACCGGGCGGGAGGTAGAGTCAGTCCCCAGGGGCCCACGCAGCCCTGAGCCCCGAGTGTCCACCCTTGCTCACTGGCCACAGCTTGCCCGCCTGCTGTGGGCACTGCATGAGAGAGACAGCTGGCCCTGGGGCCTGGCCACCCGGCCCTGGGGCCTGGCCACCCGGCCCCGGCCCCTGCTGCGTTTGCTCCTCGCTCCGTCCTGCCACCTGGCTACCTATCTTGCCCTCTGTCTACCCGGCTTACCCGCTCCTGCTCCCGGCTCAGCCTCCGGTTCTCTTCCTGTAGCTGGCAGAGGGCCTCCTTTCCACTGGGCCTGGGGAGTGGGGGACGACTTAGTGACTCCCAGTGTGGGCCCCTGCCCCCCACCCCAGCCCCCCGCCCCAGCCCCCCAGCTCACCCGTGGCCTCGGGCCTGCTCCAGCTGTACACGCAGGGCGGCCAGCTCCTTCCTCAGCGGTGCTTCCTGAGGCCCATCCTCAGACAGCCCTGTACCGTTGGTCTCAGAGGCAGTGTGGACGGTCTTGAGAACATGAAGAGGGGGCAGGGCAGGGGCATGAGAAGCTATGGCCCACCCTACCCCTGGGACATGGGCCTGGACCTGAGGGCCCTGAGTGGGGAAGGCCGACGGCAGTGCCACTTGGCAGGGAGTGAGACCACACTACCTTGACCCGGGCAGACGCCTTCCTGAGGCTTCGCTCCTGCTGTCTCTGAAGCCGCGTCACCTCCCGGCTCAGGGCAGCCACCTGGGCCTGCAGCTGTGATGGGGTGCAGAGATGGCCAGTGCTGACCATGTCCACCCCAACCCTCTCCCCGGCTGTGCTTCAGACTCTTGGGCTCTGCCAGCTGCAGCAGGAATGGAGGTGGTGAACCCCGGGTCCCCCACCCAAGCATCATCCCCTTGCTTAGGCCCCTGCCAGCCACAGTGAGGGGTGCAAGGGCACAGGAGGCCCCCAGCACCTCCAACCAAACTCTCTGGGCTTCCCCCAGCCATGCCAGGGGTCATGGGGGCAGTGCCCTACTGCTGTGCCCACGTACCCCCACTACTCACCTCCCTCCGGGCAGCCTGGGCTTCCTCCAGCTGGGAGCCCAGGGCCCGGGTCTGGCTGGCTGTAGCCGCCTCTCTCTCCTGGGCCTCCTGCAACCTCTGGAGTAGTTCCTCCTGCCGCCCCTGGGCGTTGCAGAGCTCCTTCTCCTGCGCCCGCAGCCCTGCCTGAGCTTCCGCCAGCTCCTGGGGCATCGGGTGGGGGTGGGGAGGACAAAGCCTGGAGTCAGGGCAAAGGCCCCTCACCGTCAAGCCCCGGGCCATTCAGCCACCTCACCAAGCCCTCACCTGGAGGAGCCGGTCTCTCTCCTGCCGTAGGTCACTGTCCTGGCCTGGGCTACCAGCAGGAGGCCCATCCGTCTGGGACAAGGGGGCCTTGCTGTCCCTCAGCGTCTCTGCCAATCGTCAGTGAGACCTGCACTTACTGACCACCCCGGCCTGGCTGGGCCCTCCACCTGCAGCGTCTCATGGAAGCCTCACTGCAGACCAGGCAGTGGGTTTCCTTGGTCCACTTTCTATATGCAGGCTCAGGGAGTTTAAGATAATTCCAGGCCAGCTGCCACGGTGAGGGCTGGGGCAGAGACAGGGCGGGGAGGGGTGGGCAGGGTACCTGACAGCCTGTCCTGCAGCGTCTGAACTTCCTTCCGTAGCTGCTCCCGCTCCTGATGGTCTGAGGCGACCTGCAGGGCCTCTGCCATGGGGAGAGCCCACCAGTGAGTAGCTAGTCCAGCGGCAGCAGCCCCGGGGCAGACTCACTCGCCCTGGCCCAGCTGACTCCCCGTACCTTGGAGTTTCTGGCTCAGCTCCATCTTTTCCTGCTCTAGACTGTGGAGCCTCCGCTCCAGGGCATCCAGCTGCTCGGAGCTGCTCTTAGGGCCCGGACTGGGTAGAGAGGGGCAACACAGGTTGGCAGAGACCACCCCCCAAAGCAGCCTCCATTCTCCAATCATTCATTCACCCGAGAGACACCGCAGTGTGCCAGGCCTGTACCCAGACCTAGGCTCTGTGCCAGCAAGAGAAACAAATCAGACCAGGTGCTGCCCTTGGGAGGCCCCAGGATGGCACCACGGGCGGCAGCCTGGGGGGGTGGCTCCAGGGTCCCCCAGGTTCAGGGTCAAGCCTCAGTCCTGGCCCTGACAAGCTATGTGACCAGGACTAGTCATCTGACACATCTGAGCCTCAGTTTCCTCGCGGGAAAAGAGGTGATAACAGGGTTTCTTCCAAGGACTGTCGAGAAGACATGGTGATATAGGTCCCAACAGCCCCACCCCTGGCACATAGTAGGTGCTCCTGAGCACGGGTCAGATGTATGTGCTGACCCCTGGCAGCGCCCCTTCTCCCAGAACCTCACTATGGTTTCCGGCCAGCCCCACGAATGGAACCTGATCGTCCCGCCCACTTCACCGAGGCACAAGGTGAGGCTCCAGGGGTAGAAGGGGTCCTTCCAACGCTAGGCCTCCGGCTCCAGGCCCACTACGTTCCTAGCCATGGAGGTTCCTGAGAGGGCCAAGTGCTGGGGCAGGACCCAGAGGGGGCACGGGCACAGCATCGCTACAACCCAGAGGACAGGGGGGACTATTCTTGGGAGAGCTCGGAGCATACTGCCTCAGCACCTGTCACATGCAGGCACCAGGTGGGACATCCAACCGCTTTCCCAGGGTCATAATGTGCTACACTCCCAGTGCCCTCCGGGCCCGGCAGCCCCCAGCTTCCCACCAGGCACGTGAGGCCTAAACTTACCTGCCCGAGGTGTAGGTAAAGCCCACAAATGGCAGGTGGTGGCCTGAGAAAGTCCCATGGGAGGGTGGTGGTAGGGTCCCCTGCAGAAGGAGCAGAGAGAGTCAGAGTCGACAGGCACAGCTCCAAGCCGAGGCCTGAGCGTCCCCAGGAGACACCCTGGGACTGGGCGTGCCAGCTGCCTGCTGCCTGGGCGGGAACGAGGCCCCCACCGAGTCGGAACACGGTTCCCAGGGATCCTTGAGGTGAGGGCCTCCCAGGCACTGCTGGGAGTCTTCTGCCACGTACGACTTCTGCTTAATACAATGATACAGGTCAAAGGACCTTCACTAGGCACAACCCACCTCAGGGCAGGTGATCCATAACTCCCAAGAGCCTCTGGGGTCTGAAGGCCTCACCCCCAGCCCAGCAACTGCTTTGGAAAACTTTTAGGGGGTTCCTACAGCCAGGAAGGGTCGAGACAGCTTTCCGGCTGTAGGGGGACCCAGCACTCACTGGGTGGTTGAGGGTGTCATCGTCCACGTCGAAGTTGGAGGTGTCCATAGGCCCACGGAGCTCAGGGATATAGGGGGCAGTGCTGGTGGCCAGCCGCTCCCAGTCCACGCCCTCGAAGAAGGGGTGGTTCCGGAAGTCGTCCAGCCCTCCGCGGCCCAGGCGCTCCTCCTGGCGGCACAGCAGCTGGCGGATCAGGTCTTGGGCACTGGCTGGCACATCGGGCACATCCGAGGGAAACTGCAGGTGGTCCTGCAGGCCCGGGGAGAGGTGTGCTGGGTATCTGGGATCCCACCTCCCACCTACGGGCATCACCAACCCCGTGCACTTGGGAGGCCCGCTGCCCTCCCAGAACCCTGGAGCCTGGCGGCCAAACCTCATGGTTCATGATCTTGCCGTAGGTTTCCACCAGGGACTCAGCATAGAAGGGCGTCTCCCCAAAGAGCAGCTCATAAGCGCAGACCCCCAGTGACCACCAGTCGCACTGCGGGCCATAGTGGCCCTTGCCTTCCTCCATGGCCTGCAGGATCTCGGGAGAGATGTAGTCGGGAGTCCCCACTGCCACTGACGAATCCACCTGTGGGTGGTGGTGTCGAGGGGCCATGAGGCCAGCCTCGGGCGTGGCTGGGCCTGCTGGCTCCCCGCCATGGGTCTAGGCCTGGCGCGCCCACTTGTTTGGGGTTGGCTGGCCCGGTGCTGCCCCGTGGAGCCTGGGCCTCGTCCTTCCTTCCCCTGGAAGCCTGCTGTCCCCTGCACTAGGCCTGGTGCCTCCCAGCCCCAGGACCCCTCCCAGTCCCCTTGCCCCCACCCTGGGGCGAGGTCCTTACCATGCCATTGTTGTTGAGACGTAGGCAGGAGCCAAAATCAGCCAGGCGGATGTGCCCATTCGTGTCCAGCAAGACATTGTCCGGCTTGACGTCCCTGGGGGAGGCAGGGAGAGTGAGCGGCCCGACCTGTGTGTGTGGACTGGGAGTGTGGGCACGTGCGCATCTCAGCCTAAGGATGCTCACGTGGGGTCCGTGCATGTGGGGTGGGCGGAGGCTGGTGGCCAGGCCTCCGGGCTCCCAGGAGAGAAGGTAGTCAGATTGGGAAAGGGACCCATGAGGACGACCCTCAGAGGCAGCAGAGTGTGTGTGGGGGACACAGGAGTCAGACTTCCCCAGGGCAAACCACAGCTTGGCCACCCGACAGCTGAGTCACCTTGAGCCAGGCAGGTGCTCGCTGGTGCTAAGCCCTGACTTCCTCATCTATAAAATGGAACAGTGGCAGCTCCCCCCTCCCCCGCCATGACTTTGGGTCTTTGGTGTGAGTATTCAAAGGCATCATGCAGGTGAAGCACCCAGCATAGGGCGTGGCACGTGGTGAGTGTTCAGCAAATGTCAGCTGTCCCCAGAGCTGTCAGCAGGGGCTGGACAGAGCATCAGGAGCTTTGTGGGCCCCACCTGTGCACGTAACCCAGCTGGTGCAGAGAGTGGATGGCCAACACCATCTCGGCCAGGTAGAACTGGGCCAGCTCGGGCGGGAGGCGGTCCTCGAAGCGGCTCAGAAGAGTGAGGAGGTCCCCACCAGCATAGTAGTCCATCACCAGGTACTGGATGGCGGCAGGTAGGACAAGAATCAGATGGAAAAGGGGGACACCTGCTGCAGGGCCCCGCCTCCCAGTGGCCCCATGGGGCTCTGGGAGACAGGGCTGTGTCTCCCGGCCAGGGCTCAGGTGGAGGCTCCAGGCCCTGGAGCTGTGGGAGAGGGCAGGGGGGCACACCTGCTGGTCCCAGGAGGAGGGGGTCTCTCTCTCTCTTTCAACTTGGACCCGGTGCCTCTGGCCCCCAAGGGCCTTCTCCTTTGTCCCCAGCCAACCCCCCTCCAACCTTGCCAAGCACCCTTACCAGGTACTCCTCGTCCTGGAAGGCGTAATGCAGAGCGGTCACCCAGCGGCCGTCCCCCTTCACCAGGACATCCCGCTCCTCCCGGAAACAGGCTGTCTGTAGCAGGTTTGGGGAGCGGGGTGGGATCAGAGCCCAGGAAAGCCCACGTCCCCTCGGGAGTGGGGTAAAACCCAGAAAGTCTAAGAGCTCAGATGGAGGTTGCTGGTGTGAGCCCACGCCTGTGCTCTGCAGCTCTGGGCCTTGGTGTTACCGTATTATCATAAGGAAGGTGGGAACGGTCTGACTGCCTCTAAGGAAGGTTCATAGTGAGGAAGGGATGGGGGTCAGTGGCCCCCGGGGTGCATGCTCTGCTGCTGGCAGCCGTGCCCGCCCCTTCCCCCGCAGCCCCTGTATCTATCTCAGTGGCGGCACGCACCCCCCTCCCACACCTTTGCCGGGTACCTAAGTCCCACCAGACCCCAGACTGACCTCGGCCCTCTTCAGCATCTCCCATTTGTGCAGCATTTTCATGGCAAAAACCTGCCCACTGTCCCTCTGCCTCACCACCGCAACCTGCAGCCACAGAGAATGCTGGGGTCAGTCCGGCGGGGACACAAACACCCTCCTCCCACCCAGCCCAGGCCCTTTGCTCACCTCCCCGAAGGCTCCTCGGCCGATCACCTTCAAGATCTCAAAGTCATCTCTCTGCAGCCGCAGCTCTTTCACCTTTGTTACCAAGGGGCTGGCTGGGGAGACACAGAGCGGGGCTCAGGGGACCTGCGGGAGGGCCCCAGGTCCCGCTCTCACCTGCGGAAAGCCAGGAGCTGTCATTCCCGAGGCCAGGGCAGGATGACCTCCCCAGGGTCAGCCTCTGGCCAGGGGCTGGAGAGGCACTGCAGCCCCCTCAGCCGTGAGCAGGACACACGCAAGGTGGAGTCCTGACTGCTGACCACCCCGAATCCATGGCTGCCAGAAACCCTGTCCCCAGGCTCCAGGCAGTCTGGATCCCAGGGACTGATGGAACTAGTCGTCCCCGCCAGCTTGGGGGCTGACCCTGGCCAGCCAGGTCACCTTGGGACAGACGGGGACACCATTCCCACCCCCAGCTCATAGTTCTTGGCCACCTAGCAAGACCAGGCCAGGGCCTGTCTTGGGAAACTGGACAGGCAACATTCCTTGTCCCCAGAGAGGCTTCTCTGCCATTGAGGAGCTGTGGCCTGGTCCCGGGACCCTGTGCCGGGCTGTAGGCACAGAGGTGCCTGGCTGGGGGTAAGACCTGGGGGAGCCCCAGAGGACAGGCAGGACGGTGGTTCTACAGGGCTGCAGAGCACAGGCCCTGTCTCCCCGGGGGGGGGGGCCTCCTCGCCGGCAGGCACGGCCAGATCTGCCCAGGCTCTCACAAGACCCGAAAACAGGGCCAAACACCTTGCCCTGGCGCCTGACGCTGGCACTGGAAGATGTGAGCACCCAGAATCTCCTCTAGGCCTGACCAGCTCGACAACTCTGAGCCCTGCCTCCCTCCCTGGACTTGGCCTTCACCTGGCCAGGAACCTCCTCCTTCCTCACAGTCCCTGATACTCCCATGAGGGACATCTCCAGCCTCTCCCAGGTCCCTCCCAAGCCCAGAGGAGGGGACTGGGGCCTGGAATATTAGGGAGGCAAGAATGACCAGCAGGGGTTGGGGTCAGTTGCAGTCTGGCTCCCTGCCTCAGTTTCCCCCGCCAGGAGGTAAACACCCTGCCAGCTAGGCAGGTCTGTGGGTAGGACAGAGAGCTGTTCCACAGGTTTATCAGGCAGAACCCCCGCAGCAGGGGTGGAAACCTCATTACAAAAATTAATTGTCTTTTTCCCAGGTCTGTGTGTGCAGCTGACAGGAGCAGCCACAGGTCTCCAAGGGGAAGCTGAGGCCAGGGCACCTACCCATCGGCCAGAGAGGGGCCCAAACTGGCCGCCCATAGCCAGGAGGATCCAGGCCCCCAGGACAGGCTGCCCAGTCCCCTCACCCTGCCCAGGGGATGGGGGCTCTGGGCAGGATTGGGGACAAGTTGGGGCAGAAGCAGAATGAGTCACCACCCTGCAAGTTACCTCGGGAGATGTCAACAGACAGGCCCCCACGCTGGGGTCCCAGGCAGAGGTGCCAGAGGCAGGCAGGGAGGAGCACATGTGTGTGCAAACACACACAAACACGTGGGTGTGGCATCACAGGGAGTGATGACAACACAGTGAGACACACACATCAGGTGCAGGAGTCCAGGAAGAAGGGCAGGGGGCAGACAAGATAGGGGCCCTCTTACTGCCCTCCCCCACCTAGGAGAAGGCTGGGGCCCAGGGCCAACTCCCAGCATGTCTCTGGCCCCCAGCTGTGCCAGGCTGGGCCTTGTGCCTGCCCAGAGCTCAGGAGTGCCCGAACGCTTGCTGCCCACTGGGCAAACACCCGCTTCACCCCACCCTTCAGGCCAGACCCTCTGTCCTCCCCCCACGGCCTGGCCAGGTGTGACCAGGGAACTCTGGGGTTGGCACAGGTGTTCACACTGAATTCAGGGTCACCCCAGGCCAGCCACTCCCGGTGACTCAGACAAGTCAACCAGGAAGGGGTGCAGACCCACATCCAGCCAGGTCTCCCTCCCCGGCCCTGGGGAAAAGCCCTCAGGAAGCCTGGCCAGCAGCTTGCACAAGGGGCTAAAGTTGGCTCCTATGTCCAGACTGGGGTGGTCTGATATGCAGGGAGTGTGTGTGTGTGTGTGTGTGTGTGTGTGTGTGAGACATGTGCACTACCTACAGCCCTGTGAGTAGAAACAGGTGAATGTGTAACAGCCAGTGTGGCTGGGGGGGGGTCTGCAAGTGTGGGGCTCCCTGGGTCTCCCCACCAGCTGTGTACGGGTATCTCGGTGTGTCTGTGTGGTATGTGGGAGACTGAGAAAGCATGTGTGTCAGTGGGCGACATGCATGGGAGTTTGCGTGTGAGAGGCTGTGTCCTCACAAGTCATGAGGCTATAATGTGTGAGGGAAGAATTCTGGACGTGACTGTGTAGGGCATCAGTTGGGTACCCGTGTCTGGTGTTTACACCTGGGACCAAGTTTCTCTGTCTATGTGAGATGTGTGTTGTGTACATGTGCCACCTTCTGTGAGCGGGAAGGAGTGTGTGTGTGCATCTGAGTGAGGGTAAGGTGACCGCGGGGTCCAATGGCACGTGTCAGGGCCACTTCTGGGGGTCTGCGGATAGCGGGTGGGGGAATCTGTGGGCTTGTGGCTGTGGGTGAGAGTGACTGTGGGCGCGGAGCGCGGAGGGAGAAGGTCCTGACCCAGTTGTCCGTCGGTCCGCCCCCCAGCCCCCCGCCACCGCGTCCCACCTCAGTCACTCACCCCAGCTAAGGAACTGCGCCACGCTGCGCTCTCGCCGCAGGGGGGCGCTGCTGAGCTCCTGGTGCAGCCCCAGGAGCAGATCCAAGAGGCCGTCGAGTCCCGGGCCGCCGCCGGCCTCGCCCCGCACCAGCTGCTCCAGCGCACGGAGCCGCCGCTCCATGGCTGCGGCCGAGGCTCTGCCCCCGGACTAGAGCCGGACCGTCCGCATACCCGCCCGTCGGGTCAGTCTTTTGGTTCTCGAATCATTCGCGCGCCCACCCCGCCGCCCTCCCTGCTGTCACCTTCCTCCGCGGCAGCCTGCGCGCCCTCACCTGGGCGCCGCGCCACGCCCTCCGCCCCGCCCCTCGACGAACGGGCAGGTGTGCGCTGGCCAATGGGAGACGGGACAGTAGGTGAAGGTGGGAGGGCGGAGGCGCCAGGAGGCGTTGCCCACTCACGGCCAGGAAGTGGAGGGGCGGGACCGAACGGCACTAACCCCGGGGCGGGGCGGGAGAGGCGGGGGTCCCCAGGGGTCCGGGAAGGCCTCCTGTATCCCCGCGCAGCCCCAGCCCCAGCCTTACTCGGGCCCTCACCGGCCACTAGCCTAGGTGGGGATGCTCGGGGTACTGCAACTTCCCTCGCCGGCCGGGGCAGCGGCCGCTTCTACAGCAGCTGAGGGAGAGGGGCTGGGGACGTCCGCGGCCCTGGAGCCGGATGGGAGTTGTAGTCCGCTCCCTCCGCGGGATGCCGACCGTGCTTGGCACCCCCCCAAAAAAAACTTTCCAGTTTCTGATTTCTTTTTTTTTTGTAGCGTTGCAGCCTACCCGGGAGACAGGTGTATGAGGCAAGGATGGTTACATCCATTTGGCACATGGGCCCACTGAGACTTCAGATGAACAAAGATGAATTCAGAGGCTGAGGATAAGGGGACCCTGCAGTGGGGCTGAGCTGGTAACTCCAAGTCCTCAGGCTTCAGGTTCAGGGGATAGCCTGGGACGAGCTGCCGCTGCCCCTTGCTCCCCTGGTTGCATGTCTTCGTGGAGTCCCTTAGAGTTTAGGAGATGCATGCCTATGGGGGAAGGGAGAGGTGTGGGCTTGCTTCAGGGAGGAGAGCACGCCACTACAGGCTCTTAAAGCCTAGACAGGAGCAGGGCCTGCGGCCGCCTGGAACTTAAAGGCCAAGGAGAAGTCTGAACTGGGCTGGAGGAGGTCAGGGGAGGGGAGGGAGTTGGCTCTGTTTGGTGGTATTTCTGATTTCCGCCCAGCTGTCTCCAGCTGGGCTGGACCAGCTGCCATAGGACTGTGGGTCTGTCCAAAAGGAGGGATCAAAAGGGAGAGGGCTTTAGTGTCTTTAGATAACAAATTCTTCCATGAAAAAACATCTCTTTAGGGATTTGCCTCCTCCCTTAGGCGGGGACCTTCTTGAGTCTTGACAGGGTCAGGTTGCCTGCGTGGAGGGAGGAGGCCCTCGGACTGTCCGTGGAGCTGAACTGAGCATCCCCAGCAGCCCCCGGGCTTCCCCAGGGGTCTCTCCCATTTAACCTCTGAGTCCTGTCTGTGGTCTGTGGAATGGGGAAGCCAAGACAGGCTCCCTCCGTACCCAAGTCAGGTGGGGGAAGGCACCCAAGATTCAAATCCAACAGCCTCTGTGTCTTCCGAAAGCTGGGTTAGGATTGTGTGATTGAGCCCCCTGGGCCCTTACCTACAGCCCTTCTTTTGGGGGTGAGACCCACAGGAGGCTTTGCACCCTCAGAGGCCACAGGAGGGTGCCAGAGACCAGAGGAGGAGGAGGTGCTTGGGACAGACCCAGGTTTCCATCTCCCAGGCAAGGCTCCTGCATGGGTGGGGAAATGGGCCATTCCTCACCGCCTCTCTTGGACACCCTGATCCCACACCCCACCCCACCTCGGCCTCCGGGGATCTGCAGCCAATGACCAACTGGTGAAACCTCCGGGTCCTGGCTCACTGTCTGTGTGACTCTGAGCAAGTCCCTTACCTGCTCTGAACCCTGAATTCCCAGACAGAACCATGCGCTGGCCCTTCAGACCCCATCCCTGCATAGAACAGCACAGGGGAAACTGAGTCTCAGGCAAATACTGAGCCTGCCTGATGTCCTTGCTGGGCAGTCCATCTGGGTGCAGTTCTCTTTGGGCCTGCGTTTGCTTTTGTTGCACCCTGGTCCAAACCTCCATTTCTTGTCTATAAAAGGGGGTCAGCTCCCTGTCCACTCCTTTGCAGCTCTAAGGTCAGAAAGCCCCACAAGACTCAGTCTGTACCCGAACCCCTGCTCCAGGCTCAACAAGCAGCCAGTCCTCCAACCTTGCCACCTGAAACAGCTCCCGCACGTGGCCCTGCTTTGCCCCAGCAGATCTGTTCTCAGATCTCGTGTGAGCTGGACCACCAGGGCTGCACAGGTCTCACCCCAGGGAGCGGGGTCTCTGCATGTGGCCTGAGCAGGAGACCTCCCATCACCTCCTCATTCACACTCCTTGGCCACTGCTTCCTGGAGGCCCACCCAGGTGCAGACACCTGCTCCCACATAATCTCTCCCGCTCCCCAGGTGCTGGCACCAGCTCTCACTGGAGCCCTGCAGATGGCAAATCATGGCAGACCGCTCCGTTCCTGTGGCCCTTCTTAGCATTTCAAAGTGACTGCAGATTTGCTATCTCCACAGGGGCCCTACAAGAGGAGGGTGTTCTTACTACCTTCCCTTAACAGATTAATAGCTTAAGGCCGGGAGGTGAGTGGTACCAGCTTTGAGCCTCTCCAGGTTCCAGGTCTAGGCCAGTGCCTGGCAGCAGGAGGACAGTGTGTGACCCCAGAGACTGGAGAAAAAAAGAAACTGTTAGTTCGACTCCCCAGGCCCCCCCCCCCAGCAGAAAGGGGATGCTTCAGATAAGGGGATCCCAAAGAGGGGGAGAGCCCAGTCCAAGGGAGTAGCAGGGAATCCAGGCTTTCTGGTCCCCAGAGCCTCGGTCTCTGGTCCTGGGAGTGGCCCATACACAGGCAGGCTTGGCGCGGTCCGTCAGGTCCAGGTCCGAAGCCACACCGCAGGCCTCCCAAGCTGGGCCCATGGCTTCCCCACGATAGCCGACGTCAGGGATGGCCGGCAAAGGGCTCTGGGCTGTCTCTAGGAGGGGTGTGTGGTTGGGAGCTGTCTCTAGGGGGGCCGCTGCGCTGCTGCTCAAGCTCCGAGTTTCATTTAAACGTGTGTCTGTCTGGGGGAGGGGCTGATGGAAATGGTGGGGTCTCGCCACCCTGGGGAGGGTGCTGAGAGTGTGGTGGGCTCAGGGAAGGGGTCCCCGCTCCCCCAGCTAGTCCTTGGCAGCCCTACACTCCCACTCCCCTGCCCACCCCAGCACACCAAGGGCGTGTCCTTTGAGAAGTCCGGAGCTCCAAATGGGTGGACATATGGTGGTTTCATCATCCTGGCTTTTCTCCCGAAAACCTTCCCTGAGCTGCTCCAACACACCACAGGGGCTCCCACGCTCCACAGAGGCTGCAGCCCATGTGGTTTTATAATTAGCAACCCCTCTGCTCGCACAGGAAACCAAGCCTGAGCCCCCTCGGCCACCGCCTCTCTGACCCATGGGCGCCACCGAGTCTGTCAGCTGCTACAGGGAAGGGTGGATCCTACCTGCTTTGTTCTGGGATTTGGGTGGGGTGCTGGGCTCCCGGCACTGACCCTCACCCCAACCCTGGCCGACTGCACTGGGTGATCGACAAAGATGGCCATGCGAGTCGGGCACCCAGGGCCCCTGCCTGGGAAGCAGGAGCTCCTGTCTACATTCAGCAAAGGAGGAACAGACTCAGGCAGGGAGAAGGCACCAGTCCCGGTGAGCAGCAGAGCCTCGATTCGAACCCCTGCAGGTCTGCCTGAGGCCTGCCTTCTGTGTGCCTTGCCTTGAATGGAGAGGGGCAGAACTGGTGGCTGGGTGTCTTAACCCTGCATAGTCTGGTGGCCTTGGGCAAGTTCTGTAACCACCTCATTTGATGGAAGAACAGGAAGGGGGGGTAGCGGGTAGCAAATGCATGGTGACATTTTTACTTACTGGGGAGCAGAAATGTTCTCATCTCACATGGAACCTCTGTGATAAAACAGAGCTGCCATGTGGGGTCCGGAGCAGTGGGTGGGCTCCCTTGCTTTCTAGGTCCGTGTGGGCAGACGGCCCCAGAGGCCTCTTAGTGCAGGAGCTCTGGATGTGGGTGGAGTCACCCTTCTGTGTCCCACCAGCCTCTAAAAGGAGGCATTTTGCCCAGGATCTAGGAAGCAGGGGATGAGGTGAGGAGAGGGCACCTCTGGGACGGTGCCACCTCTGGGACGACCTTACCTCTGCCCAGAAACACTGGCCCTCCCTGATCTCCCGCCACAGCCATAAAACTCAGATTAGGGGCCTGAGGTCCAGGCCAGCAGGGGTGCAGCCACCAGCCCTCAATCCCTCCAAGTCTCAGACCAGCTGCCACTTCCTGGGGCAGCTGCCCCGCCACCCTGGGGAGGGTGCTGAGAGTGTGGTGGGCTCAGGGAAGGGGCAGTCTGCCAAGCAGCGCCTCTGGCACAGTCCACGATGACTCCTGAGTTCTATGTTTTCTGTGTGTTCTCTCAGCTTGCATGAGCACACTGCACCTCTTGGGTGACCCCCTGGAACTGAGGGGCTGTGCTAAGCCTTTAGGGACCCAGGCTGCAGGGAGAGCATTTACTGTTTAATCTTCCATGTGGGTTGCTCAAATCTGAGTTTATTGCTACAGAATTGAGCTGTAAGCTTTGTTTTTTGGGTTAGGGGCTCGTGGGGCTCCCACTCGGGAGTCAGGCAGACTGGGTTTGCCTCTCGTCCAGTGTGCCTGCTCTTCAAGCCCTCAGGGCTCGGCGGTGTCGTGGGGAGAGAGCACCGACTTCCCCAGTTGTGACGGTCAAGGCAAACCCAGCACAAGGCAAACCGGTGAGTGGTGCCAGGAGGACTGCCAATCAGATGCCGGCCGTCAGGCCAGACACCCACTGCGAGGGCTGGCACACGGGGCCTGGCCCGTAGAACCCGGGCACCTGCTCGTAGGCCCCTTTGCCACAAGCACGCCCGGGGTGTGCCCCGCCGTGGTTACACAAGTCTGAACCCTTCCACGGTGCATCAGCTTCCGGTTTGTGTCCCTTCCCTCTGCTGGTACACAGTTCCCCTCCCCTGTTCTGTGACATGGCTGGCCCCACCCTTTGTAATTGTTATTTTTGTCACTGGTCTGTCTGCTTGGTCAGAGTACCAGCCTCACTGTACCTAAAACCCCCTGGGGCTAGTACGAAGTCCGGTCAGCCCTTTTGTACTTGACCCTTCCCAGTGCCCAGAGCCCCACGGGCGCCCACCTGTCGGGGGCGAGGGTGGGGCCCAGATTGGAGGAGATGCTGTGAAGGTCCAACAAGGCAGACACCTTCTCCCTAGCCCCAGGGCAGGTAGCTAGCTCTGTCATCAAAGGTTCTCTCAACTTCTCCACTCCATCTTCAAATAAACTACTGCTCAGCCCCTGCCAGGACAAGGAAAGGGGCTCATCAGCCCTGTTTGCAGGCGTCGATTAAGTGGAGGCAGCAGCTGTAGGAGCTGAGCATGACTGGGCATGGGCCTCACCCGGCACCTTGGCCCCCCAGACGGTCTGCCAGTGCCCCGGCAGGCACCGTGGGGAACAGGCCGCCGGGAGACAAGGAAGCACCAGAAGCCAGCTCCAGCACAGTTAAACTTTTTTAATGGGAGAAAAAGGCCGCTTTTCTTCCAACAGGCAAGCGTGGATTCGCCACTGCGCCCGACGGTGAAGACCTGATGGTGCGCCTTCCTTCCCACCTGTTACCGTGGGGGGGGTGGCCAAGGCCAGCTGGATGGAACCAAGCCAGCTGCCAGGCACTCGGACCCAGCAGACAGAAGCCTGGAGGGCAGCCCTGGGAGGGTGGGCTGGGGCCAGAGAGGTCCGAGTGCAGGGTCCCAGAGACCCCCATGAGAGTGCCCGGTGGGAACCCCGCTCCCCCTGCCACGGTGGCTCTGCGATGGCCGCCCGGGCCCCCAGACCTCACACAGCCTGGCTGAGGCACAACAGTGAGGCAGACTGAGCCTGCCTCTCGCTGGTTCTCGGTTATTGCTCACCTGGAGAAGGTGTTCGAAGGACCTCCAAGTCATGTGACACCCTTCGCTCAAGGGAAGGAAGGAAGGAGAGGGCTTCCCTGGGAAATGAGGGGGGAGGGCGGTGAAACAGGGAAGGAGCGGGTTGTCCCTGGTCGCTGGCCACTAGGCCAGGGCTGGCGCACCAAGCCATACCAGGTCCATGAGGACCCAGCACCCCCCAAAGGTGGGGCAGGGAGGTACCCTAGAATGTCCCAGGAAACTGAGGGTGCAGCACATAGCCACCTCTGGGGTCCCCCGTGGGGTGAGCTCTGCACGCACTCATGTCTAATGGGTCCTGGGGGGGGAACTGCCCCCCAAGTTGGAGTGTGTGAAAGGTGACAAAAATCACAGTTTCTGAACGAGTGGCTGGGAAGTTACTGGAAAATTTGGTCAAGTATAAAAGGCATTACTTTTACGGAACCAAAACTAGCTTATATATTTTTCTGAAAAACATTTTCTCTCACACCCACCCATCCTCCTGACCCCCCTGCAAAAGGCAGCTGGGCCTGCCACTTGAGGGGTGGGAGCCCATGTGAGCGAAGGGCAGGCCGGTGCCCAGGGGGCTGAGGGCGGTGGAGGCACGAGCAGCAGTGGGGCCGGGAGCACGGGGAGGAAGCCGCTGGCTGGAAGCAACAAGACTCGGTTTAGGAATCAACATGTCATTCCTGTCCACACACGGCCCCAGGGTCCGGCAGCGGCCAGGCCAGGCCAGCTGGGACGGTCACGGTGGCCGTAGTGCTGTGCATCCAGAGCGGAGGCGGGGCGAGCAGAGCTGTGTGCGTGAAGGCGTGGGGCTGTCAGACGGAAGAGGAGGCAAGAAAGAAGGCCGCCTCCAATGTTATATATTAAAAATATCCATAGTTCTTGTGCATAAAATTCCATCATTCACATACGAGTCTCACCCGCCTCCCCTGCTGGGCCCAGGCACAGCTTGAAAGAACGATGGTGGTTTTCCTTTTCAAGAGCTGAGGGAACAGCCACTCAGTCTTTATAGACCTTGAGAACTGGTGACCCTTTCCCTCCCCCTAGTGTCCGCCTGGCTGGGCGCTGAGATGGCTGGACGCACGGGGACCGGGTGGTCACTCGAGCCTCCGCTTGGATGGGGGGATCAGGTGTGGGGGCAGGTCAGTGGGCAGCTCGTGGCCCTCCAGCTTGACCTTGATGAGGTGGTTGGCCAGGGCAAACTCCTCATCGTCCAGCAGCCCGTCCTTGTCCACGTCGGCCAGCTTCCAGATCTTCCCCAGCACCGTGTTGGGCAGCTTGGACTTCACCATCTCCTTCTTGGCGTTGGCGCCCGTGATCTTGCCGTTGACAGGCGACAATGTGTAGAAGATCTCGTCGTAGGTGGGCTTGTCCTTGCCCACCACCCACTCGACGTCATCTATGCCTTCACCAGCCCCCTCGCCGTAGCCGTGCCCGAAGGGCCCGTTCATGGTGCCGTCGAAGGCGCCGCCCTTCACGGCCTGGGAGGGCATCAGGGACTCCTCCTGGCGCACCATCACCATCAGCCGCGCGATGTCGTTGGCCAGCATGTCGTCCACTGTGTCCAGCAGCTTGGGCTTCAAGGCCTGGAACTTGCTGAAGTCCTGGGTCTGCAGGAGTTCCTGGGGGGGGGGGCAGGGAGGAAGGGGGAGGTGGACTCCAGGTGGAGCGGGCAAAGCCACGGTTCCTAGGAGGAGTGGGCTCCTGGCCACAGCCCCAACCCCTCAACAGCCCAGGCAACCATAGATACCCCCTGGGGCCCCGGTTGGTGTGGCTCAGTGCGGGGCAGATGGCGCCGGCCTGTGAACCTAAAACAACTCCTAGTCAGGGCACACGCCTGGCTTCCTCTCACACATCCATGTCTGTCGGAAGATAAACACCCTCCTTGCAGGTCAAGGGAGAGAATTAACTGGAATGAGGCCAGAGTGCCTGGCATGGTCCCTCATCTCCCCGCCGCCCAGGCTGCCACCCCACTCCCCTCAGGACTTGGGTCCACTTCTCCAGTTCCAGTGGCGGGTTGGTGACTAACCCGGATGCTTCCATTTGGGGAGCCCCACTCCACGAAGACCCACTGGCCCACACCTCCCTCACTGCGCCCTGGCCAACTGCCCGCTTAGGGCTCGGAGCACCACACCTGCATCTTGCGGAGGCTCGGGAAGTCGCCGGGGGATATCTGATGCTCCCGCTCAATCTTGGCGTAGATCTCGCCCAGGTTGTTCACCAGCTCTTTCTTTTTGCTCTCTTTACCGAAGACATTGGGCATCTCCTTCTTGAGGGAACTGATGATGTAGGCGTGGACCTGGGAAGATGGGGAAGGGGCACCTGGTCACCTTGTCAGGAGTGTGGCCGGCAGCTGGGCTCCCCGGAAGGGCGGGACAGTGACGCAGGAGGCCAGAGGCAGCCCGGGCCCACATTCTGCCCATACACGTGGCAGAGGCATGGCCCCTGCTGCCCTGCCTACGCAAACATGTAGACAGGACGCTGAGGTCATAACACTCCCGTGCAGCCTGAATTCTATTCCTCTTTGTCATTATGAAAGCCTCGGGGATGACTAAAGTTTAGAAAAATCCCACAGGGCTTTTCCCAGATGTCCAAGCTTTAGCTTAGCTTCAATACCTTGCCAGACATCTGCTGATTCAGGGCAGCACACCCTTTGTCCCCCCACAGCAGGTGATGCTGGCAACCCTCCAAGGGCACCAGCCCTGCAAATCCTCTGCTTTGCCAAGCCACGTCTGGCTGCCGTGGGCTGCAGCCAGCCAGTCTGTGCCCCCTTCTCCCAGACTCAACCCCTTCAAATCCCCTCCACTGGCCTGACCTTATCTGTGTTAGCCTAGGAGCCTGGTGGAGAACCGCCCAGGGAAGCGGCCCATCACAGAGTCACAGTCAACTAGTGGCCCAGAGAGAACCACTCACTCCTGGAAAAGGAACAGCAGGTGGGGAGCAAGATCGGAGACGACGGGGCTTCCCAGGGACGGTGACTCAGTGCGCCCTCAGGCCAGGCGATTGCACAACCACTTCTGTAAATGAACAGGCAGACCCAGGTCTGCCCTTTGTTCTGTCCTAGAAGGAGGCTGGGTCACAGCTCCGGCAGCCCTGCCAGGAGAGGGGCTGGGCAAGGGAGAGGGGAGCTGCCCTTCCTGGTGGCCTGAGCAGGGGCTGCATCAACCTCTCCTCTGTTCATTGCCTGGCCTCCTTCAGCTTAAGATGTTCCTTGATCCTTTGAGGTCAGGAGCCAATTACTCAGGTTTTCTCATAGGTCCCTTTCTTAGAACAAGCTGCTTTCACCAAGCAGGTTCCAGAAGTCACTGATCTAGAAAAATGAGCAGCCCTGCAACTTCACTCTGCATGCAGATCCCCAGGGGATCACGTTCAAATACAAACTCCGATTTGGCAGGGCAGAGGTAGGGCCCGAGAACCCACCTTCTGATAAGCTCCACTGCGGCCCACGAGCACCCTGGGTAACCAGGGTGGAGACACAGCCCAGTAGGAAAGGGTGCGGGTCAGTTCTCATTGCTTAGGCCAAATGCTACCTGATACCGGGCCTCGAGACAGTGTGGGGTGCCCTGGGCCGCCGTGTTCTGTCCACAGAGGAGTCTCCGAATCGCAGGGCTACCCATGGGCAGCTGGCTCCTTGGAGGCAGGAGCACTGCCCACAGGGCTCTTCTTGGCTCTCCCAGGACAAGGCCTGCCACCCAGTGGGGACGCCCCATCCCCAGTCCTGAGATACTCGGGAGCCAGGGTGACTGTTCCCCCAGCCACAGGACTGCCTCCTCCGCCACAGCCGCGGCACCCACGGAACACCTTCCTACCCTCCGCATGCCCGTCGGCCCTCCGCCACTGTTTCATCAGTCGGTGATGCACAAGGGTCCCTGCTGGCCGCCACAGCTGACCAGCTGGGGCTGAGGGCCAGGCTCTGTGCCTCGAGGACCACGGCTTCTCATGTGAACAATGACCCGGCCTGAAGACTTACACAGGCAGGCTCAAGACTGGACACTATGCAAAATCATATGTCCTCAGGGAACACGCTCTGTTCCTTTGTGTTTGAAGGGTCCTGGTGGCATTTCCCAGGCCCGCAGTCTCATGTGTTTGGCCAGATGATGAGATTTCAAACTCCTGAGCGATTCAGATGCTGCCAGCAGGCCCCGAGCTTCCATGGAGGGGCAGGGGCGAGTCCACACGGCCTCTGGGGGCTGAAGCCACCCGGCGTTCTCCAGCTCAAAACCCACTTCTCCACCAGCTTCCTCTCCTGGCTTAAGCATCCGCTCCCACCAGAGGCCCCGCAGCCTGGCCCACGCGACTGAGAGCATTCCCCAGACGTCTGCTTCTGCAGCAGCCTGGGGTCTCCCCAAGATGCTACAGATAAATTACTGCTCATACTGTCTAACCAGTGCTAAAAGGGTGGGGACTTGTTAGTCCCCACTGTGTCCTCAGCACTCAGCACGTGCTGAGTGTACATCGGTGCCCCAGAGACCTGGGAAGGGCACTGACTGGTGTGGCTCAGTTGGCTGGGCATCATTCTGCAAAGTGAAAGGTCACCGGTTTGATTCCCAGTCGGGGCACGTGCCTGGGTTGTGGTTTTGGTCCCTGGTTGGGGTGGACAAGAGACGACTGATCAATGTTTCCCTCCCTCTCTTTCTCCTTCCCTTCCCACTCTCTAAAAATAAATAAAAATCTTTATTAAAAAGAGAGTGAGAGAGACCTGGGAGGGGGAGCCCATGAGGCCTTAACCTGCGTGCCCACCCACTCCCACTCCCCGGGCTGCCTGGTGGCACAGTGGCACCTTCCAGTCGGAGGTTTACGCGCATTGAGAAGAACCTCACTCAAGGCTGCACCCACGGGAGCAGAGAGGACTGGCTCACACACAGCGCAGTGGGGCCTCGGGCACCCCGCAGGGCAGGGCAGACCAACCCCGGCCCCGCCCGGTCTACCTTGGCCAGCCTGGCCCTCTTGATCAGGTCGTTGAGCTTCCTCAGGGCGGCATTCCGGGGCAGGGACTGGATGTCTTTGAAGAGGTCCTGCTCCTCGGCCTCGAAGAGCTTGCGGTTGTCGGCGATGAGGAGGGGGTGCGACCAGAAGGAGCCGATGTAGACCCGGACCACCTCAGGGGTGTTGATGATCTTCCCCAGGGACCACATGAGGGCCCCGTACACCCGCATCAGCTGCTGGGTCTCGATCTGGTCGGCCTTGTTCAGCACCACTCGGATCTTGTCCTCGTGGTTCTTGAGGGCCTTGATGACTTCGGAGAACTCGTCAGAGATGTCCAGCTTGTGGGCGTCGAAGAGCAGGATGATGCGGTCCACCCGCTCGGCGAACCACTCCAGGACAGCCGCGAAGTCATACCCTGTGGGAAGAGAAGGGTGAGAGCTCTGGGACCTCAGGGGACAGACTGACCCGACCTGGCACCTCTCCATGTGGGGTCATTTATATTTCCAGAATGTATTCACATGGATAGCACAGCACCCTGAGGGCAGGGTCACCAGGTCCCCCAATTTCTGCACCCACAATGGTAGCACCCTCACCCATGCAGAACCTGGCATTAAGAGATGCTTAAAAAAATAAATAATGCAAAGGTCAGAAAACCCAAGCTCTCAAGTGGGTCAGGCCATGGCAGAAGTGAGGAGGAGACCCTGGCAGCACAGCTCAGCAATGGGTGGTGAAGACAGACTCAGGTGCCCCGGCACAGCGGTGACAGCAAGTAAGGGCAGTGCCATGGGCGGCTACTGCTGTCCAGGTTCCCTGTCCTGCAGGAGACTCACGCCTCCTCCACCCTGGGGGCTGGCAAACTCCCGGGCCCACCACAGCTTCTGTAAATGAAGTTATATGGAACGGACCCCCCGCAGTTGCACTGCCTGCACTGCTTCATCTCCCACAGCAGAGTTCAGCTGTTGTGACAGAGGCTGCAAGGCCTGCAAAGCCAGAAGTATGAAGTCTCTGACCCCGCAGAAAAGAGTCTGGTGACCTCTGCACACAACGAGCCAGTGAAGCGTGAAGCCACTTCCCGCTCTACACCTTGAAGGCCCCTCTAAAGGAGGGGCTGCACGGGGCAGGAGCTGGGACTCCTCCGTTCAGGACAGAATGGTCTCACTGCAGCAGAAACTCATGGTGCCCCTGCTGTCCGGCAGCGGAAACGAACGAGAAGGAGTGCGAGCACCTCGTCCTTTTCCCTCCCCTGAGGACTGGAGTGCGCACGCCAGGAGAGGAGCTGGGGCGGCTTCCGTCCCTCACCCTGGGGGGCTACCCTGGGCTCAGAGATGACAGCTGCCCGGTGCAGGTGGCCTTGCAGGATGGTTATTTTTCACACAAGCTACCTGGTATCCGATTTATGCCAGTGGATTTGGCGGTTTCTGTGATAGCAGTTCGACGTGTCCTATTTTGTAATTATGCCCCTTCGAAATGTTTCCATCTCTTCCACTGCCCCCAGAGGAAATAAAAATTCTCTCCTTCCAGGAGCCCCCAGGAGAGGCAGGAAGCCCTGTGGGAACAAGGCCCGAAGACCCTGGGGAGCCTGGGTCCCAGCCCCTGCGCTGCCGCTGCCTCTCTGGCTGATTTGGGACAAGTGCCCTTGTGTCCAGGCTCACTCTCCTCGTCCTTCACCTGCTGCCCACGGGACCCCCAGATGTAGGCTGGCCTTCCCCGCACCACCAGGGCTTCCCAGAGTGCAGTTCCGCTCCACCGAGGAGGCATCAGCCAGAGAAGCCACTCCTATGGAGGAGAGCTGGGGACACTGCCCAGAAACCAACCAATCAGATGCCGCTCCCCTCCGGCCAGGTGGGGATTCAGACCCGTGTTTTCTGGACAGAAAAGCAAGCAGGTAGAGGAGGACACCTAAGAAGAGGACGAAGTGACAAGAAAAGGCCCAGTGCGACCTTCGGAGCACAGGAAAGGCAGTCCTTGTCCTCAGGAACCTGGGCAGCAGTGTCTGGACCTGGGGCTGAACTCAAGTCCACAGGCGGCCCCCAGGGAGCCGCTGCCTCCATTGGGCCAGAGCCCGGCCCCATCCCCGCCTGGTCAAATGATAAACCTTCTGGCCACCAAGCCCTCCAGGTTCAAGTGTGCTTCAGTGTGGCCGACGTGCCCGCAGCCCGGTATTCCCAGCCTCTTCCCATGCTCCGGCACTCAGAAAGAACACAAGCTTTTAACGAAGACGGCTCTGGATTCAACCCCCCAGCTCCAGCCATCAGCTTTGTGACCTTAAGTTCTTAACTTCTGAGTTCCTCATTCTTCATCTGTAAAGTTTAAAAGCCAGTTCCTCCGTCTACCCTCACGGGAGGGTCTCATGAGGCAAAGTGGTGGGCTCCGGTCACTGGGATGACCCATGAGTCGGGCAGGCGAGGGGAGAGGTGACCGAGCCCACTGGAACAAGGGCCAGGCAGCCTGGGATTGCGTCACTGATTGAGAACGAAGGGCGACAAATGTTGGGTTTGGCTCCTAGGTCAGAGGCCAATTTTCCTACTTTGGCCAGACACTGAAATTTAAGGAAGACCCCGAAACTTAAGGAAGACCCCCCCCCCACCAAGCCACTGCCTCTGCCCACTCAGCACGGTAGCCGCTCCAGGGTGACAATGCATGGCTGCCTTCTGCCCCGGCACAGCAGGAAACAGGATGCTCTGATCAGAAGCTGCCACTCAGCTGGCTGGGGTTCCTCGGCAGGGTGGAGGGGAGGTGGTGCAGGTGAGGTGGGGCAGGGAGCAGCAAAGCCGCCGTGACTCTGAACTTCGGTCTGGGCAGGGGAGCAACCAGCCTCCTGAAGGCAGGGGCAGCTGGCTGGAAGTGACAGGGCCGCGGGACTCGCCGTGCTCAGTGTGGCCGGGCATGGAGCAAGTGCCAGCCGCTCCCGTGACAGCTGCCAGCAAAGCAACCCTCACAGGCTGCAAGCTCCAAAGTACAAGGCCCTGTGGACCCAGGACACTGGTCAGCTGGGTCCCAGAGCCGCAGAGGAGACGCCCAGAGTAAAGCCCTCAGCAGAAAAGAACCGAGGAGCAGGCTGAGCAAAGTGGGGCAGAGAGCGCTGCCCCCCGCTGGGGAGTCTGCCGGCCTTGCGCTGCCTTTTATGGCTGGCTCCGGACGGGCAGGTCCACGCTGAGAAAGTGATGACTAAGGACTGAGCAGCAGCTCCCTCTTGGCAAAAACGAGGCCCCACGTCTCCCCTTTTCAAACTGTTTGTCCTCACACCAGCACAAGTTCAAATGACCAGAGTCCCACAGCTGGGGAGGCAGAGACGCCACAATGAAGGCGCCGGGGAGAGGGGCGCCCTGATGGGCTGGGCTGGAGCCCAAGTTAGCTTTGGCCCAGAAGTGAGGTCACCCTGACACTCCACCCTACATGGCCTCAGCCCCCCACAATGGTGGGGGGCCAGGCACACGGTGGGGAAAGGCGGGGGTGAGGCACCAGAGTCACTGCCTGCAGAGCCCAAGTCCCAGCCAGAGCCAGTGCCCCGCCGCCCGCCGCCCGCACACCCGGTTACTCGCCAGCACCTCAGCTGGCAGCCAAGAGAGCGAAGTCCATTTTCTGCAGGTGAATGAAATTTCCTGTTTATTATGGAAAAATCTCACTTTCGGTGAGGGAGACACAATGGCTGGCCAAGTCCGCCTACAGGTCACAAAAAGGGTCCCAACACCGAGGCCTGTGTGGTGTTGCCGCAGGTCTATGAGCACGTATGACCAGGAGGCAGCCACCACCAGGCCCACCCCTTGTCCCTTAGCCCCCCAACACCTCACTGGGCCCGAGAAATGGCCTGTCTAGCCTGGGCCAGAGCGAGAGCATCTATCAATCCGTGAACCGGCCAGGCGGCCACAGTCCCCATGCAGCCCGGAGCTCCTGTGCAGGTGACAAGTACAGGGATGAGCACCAGTGCCCTGCCCCCCGGCGCCACCCAAGGCAGGACACCTTCAGGCTTTGGGACACATTAGAGGTCAGCCTTAGTGACAGGCTACAATCAGGCATCAGCCACCACCGAATGCAAGGCAATTCCACAATGAGTGGGAAGTCGTGCTGTCCCTGGTGGAAGAGAAAACTGTGCCCCCACCCATGTAGATGGGGACACAGGTCTGCAGCTTCGTGTGCCTCAGGCTGGGGGGTGGGGCGGTGAGAGCGCTGACACCCCTGACCCAGGAAGGACATGGACGGTGTGGCCCCAGGGGTACGCTGGCACAGAAAGGCTGCCCTACGGGGCGGGTCAACGCCAGGCCATCGCCCACAGGGGACCAGCTCTGGCTCAGAAAGCTCCAGGACCCTGAGGACGTTATGGAATAGTAACGTAAGCCAGTCACAAGGGACAAATATGGTTCCACTTACAGGAGGAACCCGGAGGTGGTTGCCGGGCACTGGAGGAGCGGAAGGGGGTTAGGGTTCAGGGGTGCAGAGCCTCTGTGTGGGAAGAGGAGAACGTGCTGGAGACGGTGGCGGTGGCGGCCCCACGACAGGAACCCGTTTAACTCTGCTGAACCACCAGCTAAAAGTGGTTACGTCTTGTACACCGTGTACTGTACCCCACCCCCACCCCAGTGCCGGGGGTTCGGGCAGAAAGGCGGGGCCCATCGGCTGTGGGGACGAGGCCCTCCCTTGGGCTGGGTTCCTGAGCCCTCCTCAAGGGGTCTGCCGTCACCGGGCACCCCGGCCCGGCCGGTAGCAGCCAGATGTGCTGCCTCCTGGCCTGACCCACCCTCCGGGCACAGGTAGTTCCAGCAGCCAGAGGGAAAGCTGCCTCACACATTCCGAAAGTCTCTAGAACATGAACAATAGAGGGTTTGCCTCCAACCAACTTCTGTTTCCTGCCATTCAGTCTGCGGCCGGGTGTTTCTTGCCGTAGCTCCATCACACACGCCTCCAGCCCACGCTGGGCCCGGGAGGGCACAACCGAGACGAGGAGCTGAGCACCGACCCCGGGCCGGCCGGCCGGCCGCTGAGCCTCCGCAGGCTAAAGTTCTTAAGAGACCACCTTTTCCAGGGCAGTGCAGTGGTGAGGACAAAGGGGCCTCCCCACGCCTCCTGTTCACCCAAGAGAAATTAAGAAATTAAAATTTGCACTGTGCACAAATGTTTATAGCAGCTTCATTCAAAACTGCCCACACTGGAAACCCCAATGCCCTTCAGCGGGGGAAGGAATGGGTAACAAACGACTGCCCAGCCACGGGGGAGGCAAACCACAGACGCCCTCAAGCACAGGAGGAACCTCAAAAGCACAGGCTAAGTGAAAGCAGAGACAGACACCCGACACACACCGTAGGGCTCCGCTCAGGACGTTCTGGAAAAGGCACACTTTGGGGACCGGCTGCACCGGGGCTCGAGGAACCTTCTGGGGTGATGGGAACTCTCTGTCTAGGCCATGGTGGCGGTTATGCACCTGCTTCAGAGAGCTGACACCTGGAAAGGCACATGTCACTGTATGTGGTGTGGACCTCAGGAGATCTGACCTAACGGTGCGAAAGGACTGGGGCCAGAAGGGAGGACAGACGGACTCTGGAATCAGTCCCACGTTTGAATCCTGAACCTTCTGAACCACCAGCGGCAAGAGCCCAGCAAGGCTACATTCCCTCTCTGAGCCTCAGTTTCTTCATCTGAAACGTGAAAATGCTACATCTCCACCTCTCGGGTCTGCTGTGGGCGCTGAGTGAGCGCCTGGTGCGTTGTAAGCACGGGGAGTTCGAGTACTCGCACGTGGGATGCGTAGTTTGGACTCGAGACGTTCAGAGTCTGATGGTGTGTGGGCAATGGCTGCTTCTAGTGAGTGAAGCAAGCCTCGTACGCCAAATATAAACCGAACATTTGTAGGCGCTCAGGCCAGCTGCCACCCAGCCAGCCGCTAGGCTGGCAACCCCGGAACAGGTGCCGAGCGCCGGCACCGGCTGGTACCACTCCTCCGCAGGCCGAGCAGCCCACACCCCTCGGCAGAGTGGGTAGCATTCCCGTGGAGGGCTCAGGCCAAAAGCTGTCTGGCTGGACAGGGTGGGGAGGTGCAGGGGAGATGGTGAGAGGCAAGCTTTTAAGAGGGCACTGCACAGGGGCCCAGCGCCCGGAGGAGGCCCTGGAATCCGGAGGGAAACCCCGCTGAGTCAGTGCTTCCCCGCCCTCTAGCTCCTCCAGAGGTTGGCCGGGAAAAGGCCTTCCTCATCGAAGTCTGGGAATTCCTGGGTTTTCCAGTGTCCTATTCTCAACCGGCTGACATTCGTAGAACATCTAATTGCGCACCAGGCACTAGGACAAGAGCTTTCCACTAGGAAACGCCTGTGACCCAGGACAAGGCCTACTGCTACCCTGTGTTACGGTGCAGCTCCCAGAGCTGGGGGCCACTCCGGGGCCTAGCCCCGAAAGTGCTCACCTTCCGTCACTAACTGCTCTGTGGGCGCTGTAGAGCCAGAGCCTTCCACCAGGCCTGCGGGCTAGCCCGTGACGCATTCCATGGGCTGAAAACCCACGGCAAAACCCTGGCCTGGATGGCTTTTAGGGGTGGGGCATCTCAGGAGGGGGTCAGCAGGAAGGTCAGCACCTCTGGGTCAGAGGGCTCCAGCTCAGGGCTGGGGAGGCCATGCCCGACCATGAAGGAGCAGGCCGGCTCCCGGTCGTGGATGGAGTCTGGGAATCAGGGACAGTGAGCAGGAGGGCAAGGGAGAGCCCAGCCAGCCCCAGGTGACCAGCAGGCCCTGGCCAGGGCCCTTCCTGCTAGCCTATGGATGGCCTAAGGGGCGCTTTATGGCTTGGAGGCAGAGACCAGGGGAAGAAAGAATATCCCAGCACTGCAGTGCAAAGCCCAGGACCACGGGTCCACTTGTGACAGCGCGCTGGGAGGGCAGCGCTGTAGGGGAGCTCAGGTGGCCCCCCCCCCAGGAAGGACCGCAGGGGCCCACGGCCTGTCTGCTCCAAGCTCTCAGGGCTCCTCCACCCCAGAGCACCCCGTCAGCACAGTGCGGTACAAGAACAAGTTCTGCCAGGCTCCAGTCCCGGCGCTGACACGCTAGCCCGTGCAGCATCTCGGGCTACTCCCCAACTTTGCTCAGACTCCGTTTCCTCTCCCGAAAAGTGGCAGCTCCCTCGTAGGTGCAGCTGTGGTGATGACTGCAAGGAGCGGGTCTGCTCGGTGGAAAGCCAGGCACAAGGCTGGCCCGGCTCCGCTCTCCTAATCCCAGTCCTCAGGACACCTCACTGCTGGCACAACTTCCGGGGGGGGGGGGGCACACCGAGACAGGAAAGCTCCGGCGTGGCTCACAGCCACATGGCGACAATGGGGCAGGGCACCAGCTGGGTCCCTGCTTCCTGGGCCAGGACTCCCACCGAGGGTGCCTCCCAGGGCTGCCACTAAGTATCCTGATGTAATTGTGCAGGTGGCCAGTGACGCAGAAGCCGAGGGCACCAGTGCAACCAGCCCCAGATGCTCTTTGGAACACCTGCGCCTGTCACCCAGGCGGCACTTGGAACGAACTCTGTGTCCACAGGTCACCTTGCTCTGCTGACAGAGGGGACGTTATCTTTCAAATCCCTCGGGAGATAAGCACAGCAAGGAAGTGAGGAGACCTGCAGCAACTCCCAGGGCTCTCTCGCAGGGCCTGGGCCGTGTCCCGGTGGCTCTGGGCCCACATGGGTCCTACCTTCTCTTCACCAACCGTATTTCTTGCACACGTTAGGGCCCACGGGAAAGGGGAAAGAGTCTGGAGGGTCCAGGCAGATAGGGTGGGAAATGGAAAGGGGTGCCATTAATTAGCAACCCTCATGCACACACCAGCTCCAGACGGATGTTTGTGTGTTTCCAGGGAGCACGGGTGGCGGCCGCAGACGCTCCTGCCGCCCGCCCGGGACCCACGGTCTCTGCCGGCTCTATCTTTCTGCGCGGGAAACACCTGCTCTCCACGCCAGCAGCCGAGGGCGCCAAGGGGCGGCGGCCGGGGAGCCTGGAACACGCTGCCCCACTCTGATTTCCCCTGCTGGACACGGCGACACGGGGCCTTTGCAATAACTGATGGGTGGGGCCTCAAGGAGAAATCCACTCCCATTCCATCCACCCGAAGGCCACCACCCCTCTGGACCCACACCCAGGACGTCTAGGAGGCCCCGCGTGATGGCCTTCCTCTTGCAATAACATCCTGACACCAAATGTATTTCACAGCAAATCCCAGCTTGGAAACTTTTCATAAAACACTTTAAACTACAGCCTCCAGGGCTATGGAGGGGAAGAAACGGTCTAGTGACACCAGTCTGATCTCCCAGCAGAGCGAAGTGCTCATCTTCAAACCTCCCTCCTCCTTCCTGTCTCTGATGGGGTGGGAGGGCCTTCTGTGGGCCCCCAGGGACCCGGGGGCCGCACCTTTACACCTGGAGAGGAAAAGGCGGGCCCCACAGGTGGAGCCGGGGGGCGGGGGGACAAAAACGGAGTCCACCTCCTGCTGGCCAGGTATCTGCCATCTGCACGGGCAACTAGGAGGCCAGGGCTACTGTGGTCACGTCACATGCCCCCTCTGTGTGACTAGAGGACACGCCGAGGCCCTGCCCTGAGGAAGAAGAGGAGGCAGAGCCTGGGTACCTCCTGCGTCTAGACAAACACTCCCAACTTCTCAGCTGGCCAGGTCTAGGGACACAGCTCAAGTGTCAAAGACAGCGGTAGGGGAACTTCCCGGCACTGGTCAAAGACAGCTGCTTCTGAGTTCCCTTTACGTGACAGCAGACCCACAGAGCCCTAAACCCTTCCCCTCAGAGACCGTAACTCCCAGCTCTGAAGGTCACACTGAGGGTGGCTTTCTGGGAACACAAGCCTCTGTTCATGTACCGTCCCTCGTCTGAAGGAAAACGTGTACACCAACTGCTCTGGGGGCTGGGGACACTGCGCAAGGCCCAGAGGGAGCCCCCATCAGAAGAAGCCCCTCCGTTTACCCCTCCAGGTCGTTAAATAGACAGTTCTATCGAGACTCGAAGAAGTCCCTCTTAGCTCAGCCCTGGAGGGAGACAGAGCAGCAATTTCCCTTGGTGGGCCTTTCCCTCCACAGGAACTGATTCTGACATTCTAGCCTCGCTCTGGCACAGGACAAGGCTTTCGCTCGCCAGGCAACTTTCTTAGAACCAGACTAGGACAGTAATAGCAACAAGAGAAAACTGGCCCTAGCCTTTTTAGAATGGGGTCCCTAAATCTGCTCCCTTGAACTCCTGGGATGTCAGTACACTCGGGTGAAGAAGGTAAAAGCTCAAGGCCGGTCTAGAGACGGAGTCTGAACAGGCTCCGCAGGCTTGGACGCAATCCTACAGGCAGGGGCCCGGGGGTAGGAGAGGAGGAGAAGGTCTGTCAGCACCAGGGACCACCAGCCCCTCGCAGTCACAGCAGACACACACTGTCCCCCAGGCCTCAGGCCCTGGCTTCTACCGCAAAGCTCAACAATACCAGGCAGCCTGAGGGAAAGGGGTGCAGGAAAAATGTGCAAGTTAATGATGAACAAACTGTTCCCTGGTCCTCAGCCCCTCAATCTGCTCTCCTTTCAGTTTCACATTTACGGCTGCAGGCTCGACGCCGGGCCCTGGATAGCATCAGCAGCCTGCCCTCCTGCTCCCTGAGCTCCCCGCCCTTCTACAAAAAGGCTGGGGGCGGGGTGGGGGGGGGTAGTGCAGGCGACAGAAACTGAACGCAGATCAGTCACCTCCTGAGCCAGATCTTTAGAAAAGCTTGGCAAAATTGAACCTGGAGCTCACAACTCAAATGGGCCTTGTGTACTCAGTCAGCACAAAGGCCTTCCACCCAGGGAGGCTGCTACTCACTGACATTTAAGCAATTCAAACACATTCCACTAGTCCCTAAACGCCGAACAAACTCCTGCCAGAGTCTCCTCTTGGTGGCCCGTGGAAGTCCACCCGTCCTCTCACAGGCCTGCAGGACTCACTTGGGACTGTGGTGTCGGGAGGCAAAGCTTTTAAACTCTCACTAAGGGGAGCGAGCGATGCTGACGCTGAGCAACGTTCTGTGACCACACAGCCAGCACGAGGCCCCACCTCCCAGCCTTGCTTCCCAGCGTGCTCCAGGAGTTGCAGAGCACGAAAGATACACAGCACTGGCTGTGGTCTCACATTGCAGCTCTTGTGGCCTTAGCAAAGGGCGCCAGGGAGGAAAGCAGAGCCTGCCTGTCAGGGCTTGGAGCGAACACACGAGGCCGGTGGGGAACGACTCTCACTAGGGCAGGGGCAGAGCTCAAGGGGGGCATCTGGTCCGCATCCCAGGTCAGATGGAAGCAGTCTGACCACCTCGGGCGCCCCGGCCATCTCAGCCTGTTTACCTCTGCTGATGCGCTGCTTCTCTCCAGACAGGATCCCCGGAGTGTCGATGATGCTTATGCTGTCCAAGACCGGGTTGGGCAGCTGGGCACACATGAACCTGCACGAGAGCGAGAGCCGGAAAGAGAGGGGTCAAGACTCAGCTACCGCTGCTCTGAGCGCCCAGCTCTGAGCGCCCAGCGGTGCTTCTGTGCGCCATCGCCACCTCTGCGTCCTTTCCCAGGGCAAGGAGCTCAGAGGGCTTCTTTCATCTTAGTTTCCAAGGGTGGCTGGCAAGCTGTACATACTCTCTTTTCTGCTATCTAACCAGCAGACTCAATCTGATCCGCATCAGCATATCCTCACATTAGCTTTCCCCTGGAGTTCAAGAGTTCAGATTTCTGATGTGTCAGTGAAAACTGCACAAGCCCAGGTCACCATTCAATCCCAGAAGGGAAGCAGAAGGGCGACCCCGGAACTGTGTGACTCCATGTTACAATTTTCAACCACTGGCTACGTTTGCACATGCCGAGGAGACGGTCCTTTCCTACTGCTGCTGTGTCCAGCCCCATCCCCTGCACCCAGCTCCTTGGGGAAGGGACTGCAGTCCTCCAGCTTCCTCCAGCAGTGGGTGGCAGTGGAAGCTGGAGGACCACATGGGCTGGTCGGTGGGCAGGATGCAGACACCACTCTCTGAAAAGTCCAAGTCTGCAGAGGAGGAGTGAAGCCACGGAGCGATCAGCAGCTCGTGAGCGAGCGCCTCGCGGTGTGTGCCTAGTTCCCATGGGACTTGACAGCCCAGAACAGCAAAGGGCTGTCCCAACTGATAGCAGAGATTTTTGATTAGACACAGGAAAGGCTCCTTTAAAACCTTCTCTGCAAAAGGTATTACGAGCAAAGAAAACACTGACCCAGTGTCTGTAGGATGGCTTACAGCTGCCTTTCCAACTATGGGGAGGAATCGGAGCTGATTAGCTTCCTCTTTTGGCCCCACCCCCAGGTGACCAGTGGCCCACAGGCCAGGGGTGAGAGGTATCACCTGCAAATACACAACACAGCAAAACCAGCTGACCCACAGGGCGAACAAACCTTGGACCTCAGCCTCCCCAGCTGCCCGCAGCAGAGTCTGCGTTCCGTAAATCAGGGTGTGCCAGACCTGGGGTTCCTGCTAGGGAAGGGACTGGCTGGAGAGAGGACCAAGCTGAAAGGGTTTGAAATAAAACCGGCTCTGGGAAGTCAGTCACATACATGAAAATGCCTTGTGGATGAGACTGGTAAGCTAACATCTGCAGGACTCAGAAACGAGCGCTCTGCAAAGCCCAAGAAATGAGGTGGAAAACACGAAGGGGAGAAGGCAGCACAGATGCACCCCATCCCATCTTCTCATCAAGGATGTCCGACAACAGATTTCACTTCGCACCAGAAGTGGGAGGTAATAGTTACGCAACGTGTTTTCACAGGATGATCTTAGGACCCCTGACTGAGCCAGGCGGTCCTGGGGCCACGCCATCTGATTTTTATCTTAGAACAGTCACTTAGAGGGGAAGCGCCAGAAAGTCAAGTTCATGACTCAATGGGTCTCTTTACGAGGGCTGGGAGAGGCTGTGTCAGCCAGAGAAGAGCCCCCTTTGTGTGCCCTGGCTGGCCGGGGGGCACAGGCTGACACGGCTCAGGCCTCTGCTCCAGTGCGAACCCAGGCCCCACCCTGAGCTCGATAAGGGCCCTTTCAGCAGGGCCCTTAGTATTTAGGGAACCCTCTGGAGATGAGTGGGTGGCAAGAAGGAAACAAGTGGGGCTGTTGCGTCCTGCGTCCTGCGGCACCAACAGCAGCGAAGCGCCTGTCTGGGAACCCAGCACTCCCGAGTTCCTCCAGGTGGGAGCAGCAGCAATGGCTGCACAAACACACGTGCACTTGCTGGGTGAGCCTGACAAATTTCCTGAACTAATGAGGCAGGGGTCACCAGGGTGCCTAAGGTCCCTTCCAGCCCTGAAACCTTAGGTCTGCAAATGCAACAAACAGGCCATGTGCCTGTTTCTCCTTTCAAAAACAAGGTTTGCTCTCACAAGCAGAAGTGGAGACCTAAGGGCAAACGAGGCAGGTATAGCTACCCTTCCTTCTAAGCTCCCAAAGTTCTGCATGAAACAGAGCCTTAATAATGCTTGGAATTCCCAGCAGAGCAGCCAAACTTTCCACAAGATTGCACCGCACCCACCGGTTAGCAGTCTGAGCCAAACCCCTATCTACAGACGGACACTCTGCTTCTGCAACACCGGCATCCTTCAGAGAGAGGCCCAGGCCAGGGGCTCACCGCTTCAGGAGTCTCACTAAAGGGCTTCGAAGGCCCTGCCACACACAACTGCCACCAGCTGTGACAGGAGGACAGGCTCAAAGGTCTGCAAGGGCACAAGAACAAGAGCAGCCTCTCTTCTCTGTTAATGGTCAGCCCTGCAACTGGAAGTAGGCCTGGCCCCAGCTTGGACTGGGCCAAGCTGGTCTGCCCTGTGCAGTCGGACTGCGTCTGGAAGGGACTGTGATCACACAGGGTGGAGACCTGGAGGGCAAGAGTCGAGGCTCTCACCGAGACCCAGACTCCAAAAGGCATGTTGAGTCACTCCTTGAATGGAGGGTGGCAGAGAGGACAGATCTGTGAAGGGCCCTTCGTGTGGCCCATGGGGGTGGGGGCTGACTAGGGCTTCCACATTCCTTTAGAGGAAAGTGAATTTGGGTGTTGCACTCCTTAGAGAGGAGGTGAATGAGTTTTATCCGTAGCACTGTGAAGGTTAGAATCTTAGAGGATTAATTATTTTCATCATGAGAAGGCAGGTTTTGTCCGTCTAACTGGGGAACCTGAGGCCCCAGTAGGGTAAGGAACCTCCTAGTGAGTCTAGAGAGGGCCTTAGGGTCTGAACCTTATTCCAGGAGCTCCCAGGGCCACTCCCCCAGGCTGCTTCCTGTAACCCCTAAGACAGCACGGACCTTGGCAGAAGTGTTCCCATCCCATCCTTCTGCTGCCCCAGACAGATCCTCCCCGTTCTCCTACACAAAACCGCCGGCCCCAGGGGAGACACAGCGCAGCAGTAAAGAGAATGGCTAAAAGTTTCACCATATTTTTCCACTTAAGAAACAGACCCTAGAGGGGGAAAAACGTGGTTTTGAATGAATTAGGTGTGTCCAGTCTGGGGGAAGCGGGTGGAGGCAAGACTAACCCCTAGTTCTGAAGGAAGGAGGACTGGGATCTGCCGGGGGTGGGGGGCGGTGGGAGTTAAACTGATAACCTAGAAAATTCTTGGGGGATGACCGAAGCCCGGAAAGCCGGTGACGCCCACTCCCAGAGCCCAAGGGGGGTTTTCTATGGAAAGCAGCAGGGAACTCTGTACACTGTCCCTGGGAGTGGTCGCTGAGGGTCTCGTCGTGGCCTTGGAGACAAAGAAGGCGGAGAGGCCGCCGCGGGAGGGTCGGGACCCGAGTGCCGCATCGGGGCTCCGGCCGTTCCCCTCAGCTCCCCCGGGCAAGAGGAGAGTACCTGTTGAGGAAGGCGTTGCCGAAGGCGTTGAGCTTGCGGAAGGGGCGCTTCGGGTCCACGACGAGCGCGTTGCCGGGCACCATGCCCTCAGTGGGGCCGTGCATGACGGCGATGAAGGAGTCGGTAGTGGGCTCGGGCCCGATGCGCATCCCCGGGAAGTCCTGCTCGATCAAGTGCCGGATGAAGGTGGTCTTGCCTGTGCTGTACTGGCCCACGAGCAGCACCATGGGCTTGTTGTCGAAGTCAGCGTCCTCCAGAGCCGGCGAGTGGAACTCATGGAAGCGGTAGTGCTCCTCCAGAGGCAGCAGCTTCTGCGAGTACAGCTGCCGCAGCCCTTCGGCCACCGTCTGGAAGAGCTCCGGCTCCTTCTTGCGGCGGGCATCCTTGCTGACCCAGCTGAACATGCTGCCGGAGACCGGGCTGGCTGCTGCCGGACAGAGCGGCGGCTGGGAGCAGGGAGAGGGCGGGCAGCCGAGGCGGGGCCCGGCCGGCGGAGGGGTGGAGAGGCGGAGAGGACGCGGAGCTGCCGGGGAAGGGGCGGGGAGGGGCCGGCACTGCGCAAGCGCGCGTCACAGGCCGCGCAGCGCCGTCCGCGGAGTGAGGCGCGCGCCTCGTCGGGCGCCCTTTATAAGGTAGGTGTCCGTGTTCGGGCGCGCGCCGGGAAGGCGGGGCAGGGAACTGGGTAGGGGAGGAAGAGTGCTGCTTGCGGACCCCACGCCACATCTTCCCTCCCCCGTCTCCTATTGGCCGATTCCAAATATCGCGAGCGCCGCTTGCTCGGCTCCCCGCCCATGTCCCGGTGCCGTGGCAACCACAGCGGTTTCGCCTCTGCCGTAGAAGGGCGTTTTGCGGAAGTGCTGCGGTTGGGAAGGGGGGAGGCGGTGGTCGGGAGTGAGGAGGTCTGGGGCCCGCGTGCCTTCCAGCACCCGCGAGGCGCCCAGTTAAACACCCCAGCTTCCTGACTGTGCGCCCCACCTGCGGTCTTCCCTCCCCACCCACCCCTGATCGGTCCTCTTCCGCCCACGGGCTCAGAATCCCCGGAAACGGGAGGACCCCGGAGGCTGCTGCCTACACATCTGCACTGCCCTTCCTCGCCACCTCCTCTCTCAGCCCTGCTTCCCTGACACTTCCTTCCATCTCCGCATCTTTGCTTTGGGAGAGGGAGTGGCAAGAAAGAGCTGGTCGAGGAAGCTGAACATCCAAGGCGGGGTGGTGACTAGGGAAAGAAGAATGGGGAGGGAGAGGAGGCCAATGGGGAAAGTCTGACTAGCAACAAGAGATCCCCTTAGGCCAAAGGGGCTGGAACTGGGACAGGGACACACGCGGTGGAGGATGTGTGTGACGTTGGACGTGGGGAAGAGAGAACCTCCCTAAAGAGGCTGCAGCTGTGGCAGGGTGGAAGGGGGTAAAGAGGAAGTTGAAGCCCTCTGGTCTCAGAGTTTTAAGGAAGAGGAAATTCCCTATGTGGGGAGGAGGGGAAATGTGGAGTAACTGAAATCTTGTGGGAACTTTGGGGGGAATTAAAAACCCAAATACTTCCGCTTTCCTCTCCAGGTCACCGCGAGTGACTATTTTTTCACTCTGACCTGTGGCCACCCCCTTACCAGTTCCTGGCTGTGCTGTTAGGCTCATTTCCCTGTCATCAGCACTGGCCACACATAGGTCCCCTTGGCTTTCTAGGCTGATGAGAATCTTCAGTGGGTGATGTCAGAGCTTTGGGGACTGTGATTGTTATGTAACCATAACAACGTGCAGGATACCAAAGTGTAGGACGGGGTCCTGGAAGGCTCCTGGACAGATCTAAAAAGTACTCAGAAACTTGGAGGCCTGGTGGCCAACTATCTGGCTTCTGAGAGATGTATGTGGGAGCCTAGAGGGCTGGGTGCCTATATCGGAAGGAAGCAGGCTGTCAGACTAAGAGGACAAGGCAGGAACTCAAATTTGAGAGCAAGCAGTATATTAGGGGAGCTGGGTCCAGTGGGAGGTTTGGTTACCCACCCCTCAGAGGGTCAGGCAGACCTCAGTGTCTTCTGCGGGACTAAGTAATGTTAAATCCATCATCTTCCCATTTCTCTCTAGGCATTGGAGAGCCCTGCCTGCAATCTCAGGTCCCTGATTTACTTCTTTTAGTTGGATTTCATTGGCATTCTTTCCATCAAGCACAGTAAAACATGAAAAGAAGCCATGAGACTTTTTTTTTTAGCCTTCTTCTCAAAAGAGGATATTGAGACTCCTAGGCAGGCTGTCACCAAAAGGCTGTGTGCCAGCTGGTGACCAGGAGCCTCCAGGGCCCAGTCCAGACTTCCTGGGCCAGCCTCAGAGCCAAAGGGCTTGCCTCCTACATGGCACTTTGAGGGGTCCACCCCGGAGATGCAACTTCTGGGCTGTTCCGGGGAAGGGCCTGTGGATCCTGAAAGAGGTGGTTGTTCAGTGGCCTGAATGCGGTTTTGGGGGGCTGGGTCCCCGGGAGCACTGGCACTGACCCATCATGGTCTGCACATCTCCCCAGAGCCCTGTGGGCTAGGGAAACCCAGCCCTGTGAACAACAGAATGTCCCCGGGTTATTTATAAATGAACCAAGCCCCTCTAGGTTCTATATGGCCACTCGGCTTTCTTCAAGGAGCTCAAAGGACTGGAAGAGGAGATCTTTCTCCCTTAAGAGGTTCAAATGGGTGGAAATTAGTTTCCCCAGTGTCCCGGGCTCTGCACCAGGGTCCTGGGCAGCTTCCTTATCTAGTAATGCCCCAGACTGGGAAAATGTCCTAACTTCCTTTCCTCCTGTTTTTTTGTTGTTGCTGCTGTTTGTTTGTTTTTTTAAGTAAGGTAGCCTCTATTTGATGAGAAAATTTTGTGAATCGTCAATGAGCCATTTTACTATTGATTTCTCCATTTCACTTGCTGTCTTTGCCCAGGTCCTGGGGAGAAGACTGGGGTAGGGTTCAGATACTTCCTTTATCTCAGAAATAATGTCTGTCTCTCACTCCCGGTATTTTTTCTTCTTTCAGATTTATAGACACACACATGCAAAACAGCCTCCCCTGAGACTGTGCTCAGGTGGTGGATAGAGGCCACCTGCTGTCCCTCAGAGCAGTTTTCTTGGTCCCATAACGGCCTGGTCTAGACAAGTGCCTATAAGGGCCCTAAAAGCCACTTTTTAGAAAATGGAGTTTTCCTCCAAATATGGCAGAAGAACCAGGCTGGGCAAAGCCAAAAACAGGTAGGTTTGTCCCTGAGGTGACAAGTGCTTCATTCTTTCCACTGAGAAAGTTTGCATATTAGCGCGGCTTTTTGTCTCACAGACGCGAGGAATAGATTTGGCCAACAAATCAGTTTGCCAAAACAAGGCAGAGAACTGGAGACGCCTGCTCCCCCGCAGTCCAGGGTCCCCGGTGCTGGTCAGAGGAGGGTCCACAGCCCTAGAGACCTCTTGCCTGAAGAGGCCCAGCAGTGGGCACGGCCCTTGAACTCCACTGGCCTCTGGAAGCTGGGCCTTTGGAACGTTAACGCTGTGTTCTTTCCAGGCTCGAACCATTGGAAGTCACAAGGCTGGGCAGGAGGCAAAGCAGAGGAAGAGAGTTTCTAGAGCCTTCTTCTCTCTCAGGCACAGGCTGGCTGGGCTGAACTGTGCCGTGAAGCAGCAGCAGCAGCCCCCGCCCTGCGGCCTGGGTAACCAGCCTGCGACTTACCAGGATGCCCTGTGCTTTCAGTGGCCCCAGTGCCTCCTGAGCTGCACTGCAGAGGCGTCCGTATGCTTTTGATAAAAACTCTATGCTCAGCCCTGGCTGGAGTGGCTCAGCAGGTTGAGTGGCAGCCTGTGAACCGAAGGGTCGCTGGTTTGATTCCCCATCTAGGGCACCTGCCTGGGGCCTCGGGCCATCGATCAATGGCAATTGATCAATGTATGTCTTATGTATTGATGTCTTATGTGTTGATGTCTCCCTCCCTTCCCCTCTTTCTAAAAAAGTAAATAAAATCTTTAAAAAAATAAAGCTCTATGCGTCCCACTGCTGAGCTTCAAGCTCATGTGTCTACGCTGGGCCCTGTCGGGCAGGGGCAGGAGGCCAGAGCTGCCGCCGGGCGCAGGGCGGGCGCCATGTTCACCCCGACTCCCTGCAGAGCGCAGGCACCGTCCCAGCCCTGCTCGCCACGCCTTTGCCGTGGACACTTTGCACTTGGGTCTGTGCAGAAGGGATGTGTCACTTGGCACATGAACTCTGACTTCTGCAGTGATGCTGCCAGAGATTCCTCAGCAGGGTCTTGGGTCCCATTATTCTACATCACAGGTGGCAGACACAAGGCTCTCGGGACAAATCCAGCCCTCCACCTTGTTTTATCCAGCCTGGCACCTTGTTCCTACCCAGCGGCAGCACTGAGCTCCTTGACCCCAGTTGAGGAGTTGTTACATTTGTACAGTCCTAAAATTACAGTCGGCCCTTTGAAGGCAACCTCAAGGCTGCTGTGGCCCCCAGTGGACATGAGTTTGACGCCCCTGTTCTACACCGATGGAAGTGGAGGCCATAGCCCTGGTGTCCCCTGATCTCTGTGGCCTGAGAGTGCACGGGAGGGGCGTTGGTGTGGCTGCCCGTGGCACTGCGGTCCTGGCCTGCCTGTGCAAGTTCGGTGGCTTGCCCCCCTCACCTCCTGTCCAGTGTGTTCTTCGGCCACGCTGCCTCTCCCCCTCTGTGGCCTCTAACCCCTGCTCTCCATGGCCGGCAAGAAAACAGCCTGAGCCTCCCAGGCTGGGGGCTCCATAGTCATTCTCTCCCCAACCACCTGCCACGGAGCCTCCAGGGTGCAGACGCCAGCTCATCTTTAATGAGCCCATCCTCAGGCCTCATGCCCAGCATCCGTGTGGGGTCAGACATTGTACCTATAGCCACCCTCCAGCCCCCTCCACTGACCTGTTGACCTAACACCTCCCTCCTTCTCCCAAATCTGTCTCCATTCAGGCCACTCTGAGTGAGTAGGGTGGTCCAGGCAGCTGTCCCGGCCCGCCAGCCACTTCCCTGTTGGCCCAGCTGGAACATTCCTCTGACCCTTGTCTTCTCTACCCTGCCCTAAGGACAGGCAATGGGAGCAGGTCACCTGAAAAGGGACTGGAAGCCAAGGAGATGAGGGGCATGGTCTGCCCAAGCTCCATGTTCGCCCCCAGAAGCACCTGTTACAGGCAGGAAGGGGCAGGTAGGCAGAGAGACCCTTGTCAGAGCTGGGGCCAAGACTCCATCTCCTGCTCATCAGCCTGGCCTCCTGCCCCTTGGTTCTAAAAACTCCCCCTGAAACACCCCTCTTGCCCTTTGTAATTGTCAGGAGGCAGAATTCTAAGATGTCCCTGAGGTCCCCCACCCGGGTGTACACACCCGGTACGATGCCTGGGACTGTGAATATGGTGGGGTCACACCTGTGACAGGTCATGTTCAATGGCACATGACATCTGAAGCTGGCTTTAGATCAAGGATTAACCGAGTGGCCTGACCTCATCACATTAGCTCTAAAAGCAGAGTTTAATCCAGCTGGTGGCCGAGGCAGGAAGTCAGAGATGCAAAGCAGGGGAA